CATAGTGAGTTCCAGATAGCTGGGGCTACAAGGAGACCCTGTCTCCAAAAGAAAAAAAAAAAAATCCTGTCCCTTGGGTTGGGAGATGGCCCAGCAGATAAAGGTGCTTGCCATCAAGACTGACAACCTGAGTTCACTCCCTAGGACTCACAACTCCGATAAATTGTCCTCTGGCCTCCACATGCATACTGCCCATCTCTCTTCCCACCAAATAAATACATAAATGAATATAATTTTTTTTGGCGTTTTTTGAGACAGAGTCTCCCTGTAGCCCCAACTGGCCTGGAACTCACTATGTAGACCAGGCTGGCCTTGAACTCACAGAGATCCACCTGCCTCTGCCTCCCAAGTGCTGCGATTAAAGTCTTGTGCCACCACACTGTCTTGAATATAATTTTTAAAAGCTCCTCCCGCCCCCAAAGCTTTTTCTTTTGGTTTTTGGTCTTTTTTATTTAAAAGACATGGGTTGGGTCAGGTATGATGCCATACATCTTTAATGCACTCCAGAGGCAAGGGCAGGTGAATCTCTGTGAGATCAAGGCCTAGTCTGGGCTACATAGGGAGTTCCAGGCCTGTTAGGGCTATAAGGATGCCCTGTCTCATAAAACAAACAAACAAACAAAAAACTTGAAGGGATGACAAACTGCCTGGGCTTCTTACAGACCTCACTTCAGCTATGGGGGTCGGTGTCAATTGGAGAGAGGAAGAGCTCCCCAGAGAGTGTTGGGAGAAGACTTCCACATCAGTGCTCCTCATCTTAGCTAGTGGGGAGAGCCATAGAACACATAGTCCTCTGCAAGCAACAGGGACTGGGCACAAGGCAGAGGGGAGCTCTGATTCTGTGAAGAGAAGTCACTTCTTCCTGGAAATTTGCCAGAAGGGCCTGAGAAACCACAAGGGGTTGAAAGGATGACTGTGGAACCTGAGTGTGGCTGGCCTGCACTGTAGTAGTACATGGTGCTTCCCCCAGCACTGACCATGCTCACAGACTCACAGTCAGAGCAGCAGCCCCAGAAGAAGACCTAAAACAGGCTGATGCTTTAATACTGTCCCACTTAACAACATCTGCATGGCTGTGCAGGAACTGCTCTGGCTTTTGATTGCCTCCCTCCTCCTCCTCCTCCTCCTCCTCCTCCTCCTCCTTTTTTTTCAGGAGAGTGCTGGCCTCCCTCCCGTTTCCTTCTGCTCTCCCTCCCACCTTCCTTCTCCCCCTCCCCCTCTCCCTCCTCCTCCTCCTTCTCCTTGTCTTCTCTCTCCTCTTTTCTCCTGCTCTCTGCCTCCTCCTCCCTCTCTGATTCCTTCTTCCCACTCTTCCTGATTATCCTTCCCCTCCTCCCTTCTTCCACTTCTATTTTTCCTCCTCCTCCTTCTCTTACAGTTCAATAGAGTTGAAGATTTGAGGTGGCCAAGGAATATTTTGATGTCATTATTGCATCTATTGTGTATTTACTTTTGTTTGCTTCTTTTACTTTTCTGAAACAGTTTCTCACATAGCCCAGGCTGGCCTCAAACTCTCTGTGTGGTTGAAGATGTCCAGGAAGATCCTCCTGTTTCTGCCTTCTGAATGCTGGGATTATGGGTTTGGTCCAGCTTGATTTTTTTTTTTTGAGACAAAGTCTTCATGTAGCCCTGACTGGCTTTGAATCTCAAGGAGATTTGCCTGCCTCTCCCTCCTGAGTGTTGGAATTAAAGGCATGCATCACCAGGCTCTGCCCCCATCTTGATTAGAGTTCATTAAAAATAATTTGGGAGGGGTTGAGATAGCATCTCCCTGTAGCCCTAGCTAGTCTGGAACTCACTTACTATGTAGACCAGGCTGGTGTTGCTCTCACAGAGATCCACCTGCCTCTGCCTCCTGAGTGCTGGGACTAAAGGGTGTGTCACCATGCCTGGCTGATTTTTTTTAATTTTTAGATTTTTATTTAAGTACAATGTCCATGGAGGCCAGAAGAGGACATTGGATCCCCTGGATCTGGAATTACAGATAGTTGTTAACTGCCATGCGGGTGCTGGGAACCGAATCTGGGTCCTCTGCAAGAGCAGTTAAGTGTTCTTAATCACTGAGCCATCTCTTCAGCCCCTACAATTAAAAAAATTGTATCTATTATTTTGTGTATGTGTGTATCTGTATCATGGCATGTGTGTGGAGGTCAGAGGACAAGTTGCAGTAGTCTGTTCTCTTCCTTTACCCCTGAACTATCTTGGTAGGCATAGCTTGATTTTTTTTTTTGACAGGGTTTTTCTTGGTATGTAGTACAACCTGGTCTCAAAATCATGATAACCCTCCTGCCTTAGTTAACCCTTGGATCCTGGGACTATAGGACTGTACTGCCATGCCTAGCAATGACCTGTGTTTTGGCCAGTTTCCTCCCCTTCCCCCATTCCTTCCAATGGGCCATCAGCCTCCCCCATTGCAAGCATACCCTCCTGGGTAGAGTTGGTCTCATACGCTGAGATCTCAGTTTTCCTTTATGCCTGTGATCCCCTGAGAGAGTCAGAACCTTTGGGTATTGTAGTGACCATGGCCACAGCAAGGTTTGCAATCTGGGGAACAGAGTGAGTAGCAGGTGCTGCTCACTGCTGTTCAACCCGGAAGCAAGGCTTGCCTCTGAGCTGCAGGCCTGGGTCTGAGGGCTCTGGGTGGAACCAATGGATCTGGGTTTGCTTTTCTCCTAACCCAGTTAGTTTAAAAAAAATCACATATATGAAAGAAACTCCTAGCTTTGGTGGGTGCACACACCTGTGATCCTAGCACTCAGGAGGTGGTTGGAGAGGATCAGAACTTCAAGATTTCAAGATCATCCTTAGCTACATAGTGAGTTCTAGGTCAGTCTGGATCACATAAGACTATGTCTCCAAAAAATGGACAAATGAAATAAAATAGGAGGGTGATGGTACCCATCTATAATCTTAGCATTAAGGAGGCAGAGACAGGTGGATCTCTGTGAATTTGAGGTAAACCTGGTCTGAATAGTTTCAGGCCCATCAGGGCTACATAGTGAGATCCTATCTTTAAAAAAAAAAAAAGCCAATCAACCCAATAACCTGCCCGCCCCACCAAAACAAAAACAAAACCCCCACAATTACCAATCTGAAATTGAGAACTGGGAGTGGTGGCTCATGTTTATAATTTCAGCACATGGGAAGCTGAGGCAGGAGGACTATCTCAAGTTCGAAGCTAGTCTGAGCTACATAGCTCCAGGCCAGCCTGAGCTACAGATACCGTGTCCCATAACACTCCAAACAAACCAAAAACAGAAATTGAATTTATTTAGCTACAACATCCACACCCAACAGTCCTGCTTAATTCACAAACTGCCTGATCGCTGAAGGCATGTGAATTTGGTTCCCCGATTTCTATGTTAAAATCCCACCATCTACAGTTTGTTGTGCTCTACTGAGACGTTAAGTTTTCCCATTTTAAATCTTGGACAGGTAGAGTTAGAATATTATTTAATCGGGGGCTGGAGAGATGGTTCAGTGGTTAAGAACACTGGTTGTTCTTGCAGAAGACTGGGGTTTGAATCCCAGCACCCACGTGGCAGCTAACAACTGTCCGCAACTCCAGTCCCAGGGGATCCGACAGCCTCCTCTGACCTCCGAGGGCACTTCACGAAACGCGTGCACTTACCTACATGCAGGCAATACACACACACAACATAAAAATAATACATAAAAATTTTAAAAAGTTTCAGAATATTATTTAATCGTTTCAAAATTGAAAATTAACATTGAGTTTCTAGATGAAAACAAAATTTCCAAAGAACTAGCCTGCTAGGGAAAGGGGGACCTCTGCAAGGCTGAAGGGTGGGGGGATGGAGACCACCGAGAATTTTGAGCGCATTTATACCACCAGCACTGCACCTGTCTCTTGTAACCTAAAGTAGGAAACTGCTGCCCTCTGTTGCCTATTGGTCTCAAAAACAATCCTTTATATTTGCAAGGCATGCTGTACAGTCCCTTTTTATAGATAAAGAAACCGAGGCTCACAGGAGGTTCTGGAACCTAATCAGGCACAGTGGGATGTGCAAAAGTGGAAGCAACCCAGCCTCCCAGCTGAGTTCTCAGCGGAACAGAACGTGATGAGTAGTCTTTTTGGTTCTGGCAGGTGGCCCTGAGAGGACAGCACACACATGATGGCAAACAGGGTTGCTGGGCATAAAGGTATCCAGCAACATTTCGAAGAAGATGAGGCAACAATGAGCTTTTTTGGGGGGTGAGTAGAATATCAGCAGGCAAAAGACAGGAGACAATCCTGGTGGCTGGCAAGAACTAAGGCTGCGGGGAAATTGGGAGTACTCTTATTTTGAGGAAACTGAACAGGGTAAAAAATGTTTTTACAACATTATCTACATACATACATGCATGTATACATATATAAGGTGCATATGTCCTTTTTAAAAAAAATATTTTTAAATATTTTATTTATTTTTTAAATGTGTATGAGTGTATTGCCTGCGTGTCGGTAAGTGAATCCATGTCGTGCAATGCCCTCGGCAGATCCCCTGGAACTGGAGTTACGGACAGTTGTTAGCTGCCATGTGGGTACTGGGATTCGAACCCGAGTCTTCTGCAAGAACAACCAGTATTCTTAACCGCTGAGCAATCTCTCCACTGGAGGAGGGTGGTGGTGGCGGTGCTGGTGGTGGCGGTGGCGGTGGTGCGTGTGTATTGCAGGAGGCGAGTTCTTCACAGCCCATTTAAGCAGGGTGATGAGAGGAAAGAACAAAAAGAGCTCTTGGCTTCATCTTTCACCTCTTATAGCCTCCGCTTTTGATATTGCCTCCAAATCTCTTGCCAACTTCCCGGATAATCCTAAAACTGTCTTGTACCGGGGAGGGGAAACGTCAAGACACTGTCATTTTCTGGATAAGTCCATGTGCTCTTTAGTTTGAACGCTAAAGTACTGTAGGTATTATTTTTGGCCCCTCCGGGTGGCCGTCCAGGCCCGGACCGCGCGAATTCTTTTTGTCCCTCAGCGGCCGCCGTGCGCGCGTTACGTGGCAGCTGTCGGCGCGGACCAATCGGCGGCGCCCGCATCAGCCCCCCTCGGGTGGCGTAGCCGGAAGGGGCGGAGCCGAGGCGGCGAAGGCCGAGGCGGCAGCGGTTGCCGCGGCTCTGGAGGCCGCAGTCCGGTCCCGGCTTCTGCCCGCGCCGTACCATGGTGACGCTCGCAGAGCTGATGGTGCTCTTGGCCGCGCTCCTGGCCACGGCCTCGGGCTACTTCGTGAGCATCGACGCGCACGCCGACGAGTGTTTCTTCGAGCGGGTCACCTCGGGCACTAAGATGGGCCTCATCTTCGAGGTGGCGGAGGGCGGCTTCTTGGACATCGACGTGGAGGTGCGGGCGCACTGCCCGCCGTCGGAGCGGCGTGGCGAGGGCGCTAGGGGGTTGGCGGGGCGCGGGGCCTGGGCGGAGCGCTCGGACGCCGCGGGGCTACGGACAGGTCTGGCCGCCGCCCGTCGCGGAGATCCCCCAACGGACCCCGCCGTGTGCGCGCTTGCTCGCTCGGATTTCCGAGCCGCTTCGGTCTCCGCGGAACCTCGGGCTCTGCGCCGAACCCCGGGCTCGGCCCAGCGTCTCACTCCGCTTTGTCTCCGTGTCAGCCCCAGGCCTTAGCGCGGTCCGCTAGCCTCAGGAAGACTGCTTTCCACCTTCGTCACCGAGTCACGTGTAACGTGGCGTGGACACAAACTTTTTGAAAAAGTAGATGGGAAGTTGTTGAGGAAATCTAGGCAGAAATTAGGCTGGGGCAGGAGCGATCTTAACGCTTTAACCCACTTTTACGCGAGCGACTGGATCCGCCCCATCCATCTTCTCGCCGGATCTGCCCGACGAGAGGCGCGGAGTTGGCTCACTCATGTTAGGAGAAAGAACTGCAGTGAAGTGTTTGGAAAACAGAAGATTGTTTATTTGAGGAATAAAATGGTTTTCCACCTTTTAATTTACTTTAGTTTTTGAGAGAGGGTCTCTCTCTGTAACCCTGGCTGGCCTGAAACTCGCTGTATAGACCAGACTGGCGGCTCAACAGAGATCTGCCTGCCTCAGCCTCCTGAGTGCTGGGATTAAAAACATCCGGCACCACGTCCAGCCAAAGAACTACATTTATGTGCCTAATTTGCTTGCTAGTATGTCTAATTGGGTTTGATGATTTTTCATTTGACAATGAATGACAGTGGAGCTGGGAAAAACTGACAGAACAAGTAAAACTCAGAAGTAAGGTTGCCCGATTAGCCAAGACTTGTATAAAGATGGGCTGTTCCCAAGGTTTCCAGGTGACTGGCTTTAAAAGAGGAAACTTTGGGGCCGGGCACACCTTTAATCCCAGCACTTGGGAGGATCTCTGAGCTCCAGGCCAGCTGGTCTACATAGTGAGTTCCAGGACAGCTGGGGCTACAGGGAGGAGACCCTGTCTCAAAAAAAGGCCAAAAAAAAAAAAAAAAAAAGAGGAAACTTGGGGCTGCAGAGATGGCTCACTGCTCTTTCAGGGGACAGGAGTTGTGACTAGCTCCAGAGATCTGATACCCTCTTCTGACACCTGTATGCATATGGTGAAAAACACACATATATTTTTGTTTGTTTGTTTTCTTTTTTTATTTCTTACATCTTAAAAGAGAGGCTTGTCTACACCTAGCAGCTGACTTTGTAGCATACAGGATACAGGCTTGGGAATGTGGGTCGCCTACTTTTCAGCCTGGTCCTTTTCTTCAAGCATTAGCAAGCATGTTATACACATCACTTTGTTGTTTGGCAGTGATCACACAAACCTTGAAATGTACTTTGTAGAATTACTGAAGAGCTTTATCCTTGGGTTGTATTGTCAGCCACCTGTTCACACTTTTGTTGAAGGAGTCAGGCCAGTTGGTGACCATAAAGTGAGTTGCTTGGTTTCTGAGATGTTTCTCTAAGTTTCAGTTAACAAATAATACCTAAGTGCATTCAGAGTTTGGAGAAACAGCCAGTGCATCCTTATTTCATTAATTGGGAGAATTGGAGGCCAAAGTATTTACTTTGGCTCACTGCAGGGTACCTAAAGTGAGTTACAGACTAGCGGAATTTTCCCGCTGAAGGGCACTATTTAGGATCTTAAATGTTTGGTGAATTTTATCCATTTCTCTCCTGCTCCAGATTACAGGACCAGATAATAAAGGAATTTACAAAGGAGACCGAGAGTCCAGCGGGAAGTACACCTTTGCTGCTCACATGGACGGGACATACAAGTTTTGTTTTAGTAATAGGATGTCCACCATGACTCCAAAGATAGTGATGTTCACCATTGACATTGGGGAGGCTCCAAAAGGACAAGACATGGAAACAGAAGGTGAGGTGACCATCAGAAATATCTCATTACATAAGAACTCTTTAATTCTATACACTTGTCTATCTGATTAAGTTGTATCTAATTAAAGTTTCTTTTTTTGAGATGGTCTCACTATGTAGCCCTGACTGACTTGGAACTCGTTATGTAGACAAGGCTTGTCTCAAACTCACAGAGAGCTATCTGCCTCTGCCTCCCAAGTGCTGGGATTGAAGGCATGCACCACCACACCTGGCCTTATTAAAGTTTTATTTTGGTTTCTCAATCCAGGTTCATTCACAAATGTACTTTTTACTTATGCAAGTCTTTAAAGAGCAGTTCTGGAGGTTGTGTTTGTTTTTTCAGTAGTTCTAGTTGTCTTATAGCCTTAGAGACCCTGTGCTCTTGTTTCGCAGGCTGTGTGTTACAGGTGTTTGCAACTCTGTGGAGTTGCTAATCTGGGTGTGTATATGTTACTTTATGTGCACACTCATGGAGATGACTAGTTTAGCTAAACTCTTTGTTGTTTTTTTCGTTTGTTTTTTTGTTTCTATCTTGCACTTTTCTTTAGGTGGTGGCGATACCTGGGATGGTATGTGGAGTTCTCTTCTGGCAGTATTCTATCATTTTTTGCATCTTTTTGTTTGCTAATGTCTAATTTCTGCTTTCCTTTCCTCTAACTTAAGTTTGCTGGCATGAGAGTGTTTTTATTCCCTCTTAAAAAACCCTACAACTAATTAGACTATTTTTGGTGGGTTTTGGTTGACAGGAGATATGGGTCAGGTTATTCTAACTCAATAGCAGTGAGAATACAGTGAGCCGCATTTTCACAAAAAATCTTTGTTTAAAAAGAATGCTGAAAGGGCAGAAATTCAGCAAACTGAACAGAAGAAAATGTTACTAAACATTTTTACTCTATAGAGTGTTTTCCAGCCTTGTTTACTATTACTAACTTTGAGGCTTGGTTAGGTATAAAACACTGTCCAAGAGCTTTCCATAGTCTGGTGCAAAGTTTCTTTTGTCCGTGTTCACAAAGATTGAGTGCTGAAGTCCCATTGTTTTTACTTTTTGTGTGGTGCTGGGGATTGAACTTTGTGCATGTTAGGCAAGCACTCTACCACTGAGCTGGATTCCCAGTCTTTTTTTTTAAATGTTGAGGTAGGATCTCAGAAAGTTGCTCATGCTGACTTTGAACTAACTTTGTGCCTCTGCAGGCCATGAACTTGTGGTCCTTGTACCTCTTTTTTCTTTCTGAGTAGCTGGGATGACAGACCTGTACCACCAGGCCTTTCCTCTCATAGGTTATTCTGGGGAAATCGCTTGCCAGCAGCCAACACTAATTTTTTTTCTTTTTGGCCACAGTACGTGGTAGGATTCTTGGAAGTTGGCAGTTGTTTAACACATTTACCAATGTTTGCCTGACATCATATAGCTAGATAATGAGCACTTAAAAGTGCCAACACAAAGAAGGTAGATTTTTGTAAAGTTTTTAAGTCTGTAGAAATGTCTTTAATTTTTGTGCTTATTTTTCACGGACCTTTATAATACTGACCTTGGCTAATTCGCAGTGAGACTTAAGAATTTTGAAGGACTATTTTTGTTCACTTTCTGAAAATTGTTTCTGTTTACATGGCTACAAAATAATGGCTGATGGATATTGAACTCCTAGTTAATCCTTTAACATGATCTCTGAGTCTTGCTTTTGCTTGTTGATGGCACTGAATGGCAGCTATTACATTGAGCCTTCTCTAATGCAGTGGTTTCCAAGTGGGATTATCTTTACCCTTTGGGATGTTTAACAATGTCTGGAGACCAAATCTTTTGGAGGGCGGGGGTGCACTTGAGACAGAGTCTCTGTGAAGCATCAGCTGACCTGGATCTTGCTATGTAAACCAGGCTGGCCTCAATCTCAGAGAACCGCCTGCCTCTGTTTCTTCTGAGATTAAAGGTGTGTACCATGCCTGGTCAAGATTTTTAAAACTATATAGAGGGGGCAGGTGCCACTGGTCTCCAGGGATGGAGGTCATGGGTGCTGCTTACTGGTCTTGTGCGTCCTGAGCTCCCTATAACAGTTAAGGGCATTTGGTTCCGGATGGCCACAATTCCAGTCCTGAGAAACCCTCCTTGAAAGGTTTCCCATAGTGCATGGGCTTCCAGAGTGAAGTTGTTGAGCTCATTCCAGCCTAGTCCCATTCAACAGAGGTCGGTGGCTCCTTGTAAGAAATTAAGGACTATGTGTAGTGACTTGGAATCCTAGATGAAGTCCAGGCTGGGGCAGGGATGAAGCAGTTCCCTCATCATCATGGGCACACTGCCTTGTGCTGTGTGTTTCTTTTCTGCCTGTTGATTCCTCTGTAGAATGTAGCATACTCTTCTGAACAGCATCTTTTACCCATGCTTGATTAAAGAGGATACCTGGACTGGCTAGATGGCTCAGTGGGTCTAGGTGCTTGCTGCCAAGTCTCACAACCTAAGTTTGATTTCTGGAACTCATGTGGTAGAGAGAACTGCAAGTTGGTATTCTGATCTCCATATGCAAGGCATCCTCCACACCCACTAAATACACTAAAATAAAAGGGAAAAACATTTTTTTTAATATTATTTTTATTTTATGTGTACTGAGTGTATTGCCTGCATGTAAGTGCACTGGTGTTGTGCAGTGCCCACAGAAGTCAGAAGAGGGTGTCCAATTCCCCTGAAACTGGAGTTAAGGATGGTTGTTAGCCGCCATGTGGGTGCTGGAATTGAACCCAGGTCCTCTGCAAGAACAGGCAGTGTTCTTAACTACTGAGCCATCTCTCTAGCCCCAAGGAAAAAAAAATTTTAAAGGGTACCTGGTTGAAAAACTGTGTAACTCAGTGCTTTTGCCCCTGTAATGTCTGTTATTGCTCCTTGTAGTGAAAGCATTTTCAGAGAACAGTGTGTTGGTTCAGTTTTCCCTGAGTGTCTTCATGTTCTGGGCTAGTTTTGTACTTTAAAAGTTGGGGATGTTGTTTGTTTGTCTTTAATATTAATTATTTTTTATGTGTATGAGTGTTTTGCCTGCATGCATGTATGTACCTGGTGCCCTTGGAGGGCAGAAGAGGGGGTTGGAGTCCCTGGAACTGGAGTTACAGATGATTGTGAACCACCATGTGGGTATTTGGAACAGAACCTATGTCCTCTGCAAGAGCAGCCAGTGCTTTTAATCGCTGAGCCATCTCTCTAGCCTCCCCCTCATTTTTTTGAGACAGGGTCACATGTAGCTGTCTCCATTCTTTAAAACTCTAGCTATGTGCTGAGGATGACCTTGAATTTATGATCCTCCTACCTCTCTGGGTGTTAGGATTAATGTGCTGGGGATTGAACCCAGGAGTTCATGCATGCTAGGCAAACACCTAGCAACTCAGTCACACCCCAGCCTGCAGCATTTAGGTTTTATATACATATACTTTGTACTGTTTTTCTCTTTGTTGTTCGAAGTCAGTACAGTGAACTTCGTATTAACAGCAGTGAGTAATGGATTTCTTAGGGTTATTTACTCTCCTTTAGTAAGCAGTGTGTAGTGTCTTCCTACTAAGAGAATGATTCCTCTGCTGGGGAATGGACTCTTAAAGATGCTCTGAAAGCCAGATATGGTGGTACACACCTGTGATTCCAGCTCTTGGAGGTGAAGGGTGGAGGATCAGGAGTTCAAAGTTAGTCTTGGCTGTATCATTATCTCTAGGCCAGCCTGGACTACATGACGCAAACAAAACAACAAAACAGCCTGAGCTGTTTCTAAAGTCGCTGGTTTTGTGTGCCTTCTCTGAGGAATGTATTATTTAATAAGTAATTCTCAAAAAGAGGTTGCTAAATGTGTGCCAATTTGTCTCCAAATTCTTCCTTAGCTCATCAGAACAAGCTAGAAGAAATGATTAATGAACTGGCAGTGGCAATGACAGCTGTAAAGCATGAACAAGAGTACATGGAAGTCCGGGAGAGGATACACAGAGCCAGTAAGTTAGCAGCGCGTCTCCTGGTGAAGGTGGATTCCTAACAGCCTGCTCCTGTGTCCCTTATTCAGAAATTTTGGACATATACCATGTTACTACTTTGACTTTAGCAAGGTAGCTCTAGATTTATGAGATATGTTTGTAGAGCCTTATGTTAAACTAGTTTATTTCTGGGGCATCATTCTATACCAAAAACCACTAGGATTCAGCATAAGCTTTTTTTTTTTTTTTTTTTTTTAAATAATATTTTATGTGCATGAATATATTGCCTCCATGTATGTGAGTGCACACATGTCGTATAATGCCTCGGAAGTCAGAAGAGGGCTTCGGATTCCCCTGGAACTGGAATTAAGGGCAGTTTGAAGCTGCCATGTGGGTGCTGGGAATTGAACCCAGTGGCGCACGCCTTTAATCCTAGCACTTGGGAGGCAGAGGCAGGTGGATCTCTCTGAGTGCGAGGCTAGCCTGGTCTACATAGTGAATTTCCGGCCAGCTGGGGCTACAGGGAGACCCTGTCTCAAAAACAAAACAACAAAAAAAAGATTTATTTTTAATTGTGTGTACTTGTGTGTGAATATGTGCACATGCGTGCAGTATCTAAGAGGCCAGAATATCAGGTACTCTGGGGCTGAAGTTAAGTGGTTGTGAGCCATCAGACGTGGTACTGGGAACTGAACTTGGCCCTCTGGAAGAGTGAGCTGCTGGGCCATCTCTTCAGCCCCATTTTTCTAGGCCTTTGAAACATTTTTTTTCTTTTTTTTCTTTTTGAGTCATGGTCTCCCTTTAGCCCCAGCTGGCTTGGAATTCACTGTGTAGTTGAGGCTGGCCTTGAACTCACAGAGATCAGGGTGCTGGTACTAAAGGGGTGCGTCACCACCCCTGGCTGAAACATCTTTTTATAGTAAATACTTGGATGTGTTCTTTCATTCAATCTCTTTTCAGACACAGTCCTAAAATGGTAGTTATTGACAACTATGTGAGAAGTTGGTTACTGTATTTTTGGTAGACATGAAGTTCATGTCATGAAATTCCTTTGATTGCCTTACTGTTTTAGAAAACTTGTTTTTTTAGTTTATTGAGTGACTAATAATCCAGCAGTTATTTCAGATCTAGTTCTTTTATAAATGTTATATAACTAAGATGGCAACTGGATAATAATATATTGTTAATTGTAATAGTTTTGAATATTTGACCATTTGCAGAATACTCAGGTAACCACTACCCAGTGGTTTACCAAAGTAATTGAACTAACATAACTGGACCAGAACTTGGACAGTGTGGCAGAGTGAGCTGAGCAATAGTACAGAGTATGACAGAGCAGGCACGTGGTATTGTCAAATGAATTTTCTATTAAAAATTGTTCTTACACCAGACATGGTGGTACATGCCTTTAATCCCAGCACTTGGGAGGTAGAGGCAGGCGGATATCTGTGAGTTCGAGGCTAGCCTGGTCTGTCTACATAGTGAATTTCCAGCCAGCTGGGGCTACAAGGAGACCCTCTCTCAAAAAAGACAAAAAAGAAATTTTCTTTACATTCTTGCATGTGCATGTATGATGTGTGTGATTGGGCTTGGGTCACAGCAGTGTGTGGAGGTCAGGACAACCTGTGGGAGACAGTTCTCTTTTTGTATATGGTGGGTACAGTGAAGTTCTGATTCAGAAAATAGGATTATAAAATAAGATATTTTGGTGGTGAGAGAGGGTGACTGAGTTTTAACTCTAGAAGTGTGACCTTCTTTTGGAGATAGGGTCTTACCATGTAGCCCTGGCTGTTCTGGAACTTGCTCTGTAGACCAGGCTGGCCGTGATCTCACACAGATTCACTCTTCTCTGCTCCAAGTGCTGGGATTAAAGTTGTGTGCCACCACACCCAGCTCCTGTTCTGTTTATTCTCCTATAGGAGCACAATGGTGTTGGCTCTAGTCAGTCAATCTTTTTTGACTTGAGATGTGATCTCACACTATAGCACAGGCTGGCCTCAAATGTATGATCCTCCTCCTTTAGCCTCCTGAGTTTCTGAGATTACAAGAAAAATCCCTGACTTTTAAGGTAATTTTTAAAAGTTAAAAACCCCCATTTCTGAGTGTGTTGTGTTGCTCAGGGCAAAAGACTGAGGTTTCTTGAGTGTTGCATAATGTGGCTTTCACACTGTGAGACCAGGAGGTTTTTGTGATACGTGTGCCACTCTAGAAGGCTGTTGTTAAATTTTATTTTATTTTATTTTTTCACAGTCAATGACAACACAAACAGCAGAGTGGTCCTGTGGTCCTTCTTTGAAGCCCTTGTTCTAGTTGCTATGACATTGGGACAGATCTACTACCTGAAGAGATTTTTTGAAGTCCGGAGGGTTGTTTAAAAGGCTTTTTCCTGGTGATCCCAAATTCACAATTCACTTGCTTACCAAACACCTTGGTCATAATAATGTTGTTCGTTTCTCCATTTTTTTATTTTCTGAACTGCACATTCATAGCTTATGTTTCTTTATGATTAATAGGTGTTGGGAAAATTGTTAAAGAAAGTTAGAGTGAAATTTTGACATTTGATTGGCCTATAATTTCTTACTTGAATGCTGCCCGCATTTTACAGTTCCTTCCAAGAACTCAGACTGTAAATGTAATATTAGAACATGGTCCTCATTACATCTTCTTTGTTTTCATAATACAATGCAGTTTGTTCAGGAAGCTGGCCCACAACCTGACAGTACTGTACTGAATGACTGCATTCTTGGGAGTCCCTTATCGGTGGTTCTAAATCCCAGGTTCACTTTGTTGCATCATTTCGGCCAACAACAATCTGAATCTGACTTTTCCTGCCTAGCCTCATGGCAGAGCGGCCTGACTGGAGTATGCTATCAGGCAGGGTACTTTCATACTTTATCTTGTGTTTGCTTTAAACTTAAGACTTCCCAATGCATTTTCCCCCTTAAGTTTTATGTTGAACCTTAGGACTGAATCACTTCTACTTAAATTGATGACACAACAGCTAATCACTGTTATTGGTTTCTGCCTAACCTTTTTAGAAGTGTCTGTTAAAGCCAGTTTTCTGGGTGTTTCCACATACTAGCTGTGCTTTCTGCAGGACACATCCCCCTCTCTACTGTTGGCACTTAGGAAGTGTGTATCACTTGATGGGAAAAGTCTGGGTTTCTAATGCCAAAGGATTAAAGCCGCTTGGAGTTCTTATAGTGAACAGCCACTGTTTATTTTTGGTTTATCAGGGCACTGAACTTACATCAGCACTAGGGTTTTGTCCTTTGGGGTCTTTCTTTTTTGGCTCATGTTTTGTTTTCTGTAAGATGAAGAAACTTTCTCTGGCTCTCTGATGATGGGTTAATGGAAGGAGCTTCTGCTGCTGGCCTGGGCAGGCCAGGGTGGTGACTGCTGTGTATTAGTTACTTGTACTTTTTTTTTTTTTTGGATCTTGCAAGGGGAAAACTACAAGTAACAAGTTTTATAGAATTAATTTAAATTTGTTACAGGTTTTCATGTTCAGGACAAATAACTTTTCAGCCTTGGGTTAATATTCTTGCAACAGTCCATTGATGAGGTAATTGTTTCACCACAGGACACTGTTGCTTGCCAGTCTTTTTGTGTGTATGAAAACACTTCAGAATTGAATTAAAAGATAAATATTTAAAATTGGTTGTGTATCTAATATGCCCTGGGTTCAGTAAATAAACAATTCAGCAAATAAACAATTCTTTTTAAAAACAGTCAGTATTCTGTGTTTTATATTAATGGTAGTTGACTTAAAAATCTGTTCAATACCATTGTCTGAAAATGAGACATACCCATGTTTTATGAATAATTACATGTGCTATTAATAGCATTTTTTATTTCTATAAACTTGAGGGTAGTGACCAAGAATATCATTTTAGCCTGTGTGGTTTCTTAAACATCTTACGACTTTTGGTGAGGGGAAGGGGCAGATTTGAATTATTTCCACTCAACCACCACCTAGTTTATGGATGTGGGAAATAGGTTGGAGAGATTAAATGAGTTGCCCAAGGACTATGCAGAGACTGAAAGGTAGAAGCAGAGCTGGCTCTGCCTGCAGAGATTACTCCATCACATTCTTGAGTTGCTAGTAAGGGAAGAATAACCATTTATCAAGTTCTGTGCATGGCCTGACCTATTTCAATACTGCCATTACCTTGTGTACAGTCATTTTGGAAACAAGGGGAAAATCTTGCAAGATCAGAAAAGTAGTAAATCATAGGAGCCTGGGGAGCTGAAGAGTGGAGTGGGCTCAGTTGTTACCTTTTTTCTTTTTCTTTTTTTTTTTTTTTTTTGAGACGGTCTCCCTGTAGACCCAGTGGCCTGGAACTCACTATGTAGACCAGGCTGGCCTCAAACTTGAAACCACCTGCCTCTGCCTCCCGAGTGCTGGGATTAGAGGCCTGCGCCACCATGCCCAGCCGGCACTTACTGCTTTACCAGAGAGTAGAGTTTGGGTCCCAGCACTCACCAGGCTTCCTGGGGTCCAACAGCCTCTTCTGAACTCTGTGGGCACCATCACCCAAACATGGGTAGACAGACAAAATATCTTTTAAGTTTTCGGTGGTGGTGAATGCCTTTATCCCAGCACTCAGGAAGCAGAGGCTGGTAGTCTAGGTAGTGAATTCCAGGGCTAAAAGTTGTGGACAAACATCCCGCACCCCCCCCCACCCCCCGCCAGACAAAAATCTTTGAAATAGTAAATAGCAATATGCAGACAGGCACCAGGCACCCGGTGCTTAGCTGTCCGGAAATAACACTTTAAAATAGTCATGGAAACTGAGGATGTGATGAATATTGTTTATTCATGTCACAAATTTGGCAGCTATGTGTATTTATAGTTGATGGGATAGACAAGACCCCATTGATGTAGTTTGCCTTTGTAGATGGATGAACCTAAATGTTAACAAGTCAGTGCAGGAGAGAAATAAGCAGGGTAGGGGTTCTGGTGATGAGGTGACTTCTGGGGCGTCTGAAGGGCATCAGGGAGCTAGCCCTGAGCACTGCAGGAGACCGTAGGCAGTGAGCGGTCACTAAGCTGAGGTCACTAATACCCGCCTGGCCCAGGCCCGCCCATGGTGAGCGCAGGTTTGGGGCACTATGATCCAGTACCCTGGCCTGGCCTCGCCTCCAGTTGCTGACATCCAGTCTCTGCATTGGTGGTGGCTCCCAGCTCAGCCCTCCTTTGCAGGTGATCCTCGCGGCTCAGGCCCGGCCACATCCTTGCATCCCCGCGGTCCCTCCGCCCTCCGCCTAGACGCAGTGCTGAGTGGTTACCAGCCTGGGGCCGGAGACCTTCCCTCCCGAGGCCACGCCCGGCCAGCCCTAGGGCGGGCGCCCCTCTCCTTTATTCGGAACGTTGCAGCTTGGGTGCGGCTCCCTGCCGTGCACCGGAGCTACCGGAAGCGGAAGTGCTTGCTGGCGGCGCACTGCGGCGTTCTGGGTGGCGGCGGCGCGGGCGAGAGCACCATGGAGCATGTGACCGAGGGCGCCTGGGAGTCGCTGCCCGTGCGGCTGCACCCTCGAGTGCTGGGCGCGCTGCGAGAGCTGGGCTTCCCATACATGACGCCGGTGCAGGTATCCGTCCCGGGCCTGCGGGGAGGCGACGCCCAGCGGGAGCCTCTGGGATGGAGCCCGCGCTGGCCAAGCCCTCAGGACCCCGGGACTCTGCGTTGTCAAGCGGGTTGGCGACCCGTCCCCGAATCCAACGCCTCCCGGGACCCTGGGGTCCCAGTGCCTAGGTGCGTCCTGCCCTCCGCACTCTAGCTGCGAGAACCCGGATAAGGCCTTTATCTGTTTCCTTTTCCCTCTGCGAAATGATGACAGCTACTTCCTCAGCTAGTTATGGGGATTAAATAAGGCCAGGTGGAAGTTATCTGTTGCTAGTATGTGAAAGTGACGCTTCCTGGCCCACATTATTAAAACTGCCTAATCAAAACCAAAACCATTTACTGGGGACTGACCCTTCTAGGCTTTGGGAATTTCGCAATCTTGATATCTTACTCAGTGAGCCTCATTTTTTTAGAGCAGGTGTTAGAGAAAGAAGTTAAAAAATGAAGTAGTTTTAGCTCGAGATCAGTGTTAGAAAGGAAACAGACCGATGAGATGGACAGTGAGGAGCAGGTCTCTGAGGAGTTGGCATTATTCTGAGACCTGAATGGCCCCGGGAAGGAGGCTGGCTGTGGGGGTGATTATGGGTAGCTGATTCTCACAGAGAGAAAGGCCATTGCACATACTCTGGGGCTGTCTCGAAGTCAGCTTCCAGAGTAACCAAAGAATTTTCTAACTGAGCGGGGTTAGGGGGGCTGCTGAATTGCACGAGATGCTGTAGGGTCTCAGATCTCCGAGATTGAGGCCAAACTGGTCTGCATAGAGTTCTAGGCCAGCCTGAATTGCACAAGGTGCTGTAAGATCTTAGATCTTTGAGATTGAGGCCAAACTGGTCTACCTAGAGTTCGAGGCCAGCCAGGCCTACAGTAAGAACTTGTCCCAAATAGATAAAATAAATGTAGTAGGAAGCCAGGATGTATTGGAAGCCATGTAGGAAGGGAAGGGATTGGATGCTGTATGGAGAATGGACTTTGATGGGGGAGAGAAGCGGGGACTTCAGTCAGAAGGTGAGAGTAGATGGTGTTGTGGAGTAGTGTGCAAAAAGTGCAAACCAAAGTCAAAGGTTAGGGTTGCTCAGGGCCTGGATATGGAATTATGAAAGAAGGATCTAGAGGGAACCTGAGATTTTTGTTCTTAGCTTGGATGGTGCTGCCATTTGTTGAGATGATGATGGCTGGGAAGGTGCTTTGGTTGTTAAAACACAGTAGCCTAGCTTCTTGTAAGGTCCTGCAGAGTGTTTAAACTGGAAGTGTATCTGAACCATATGTGGTGTTACAGCTGGAAGACACTAAAATTTGGTACTTTTAGCCCTTCCTGGTCTAAGAAGGAAAAATGGGAGAGGCAGTACTCCAATCCAGTACTCCTGCTATGCTATCTGTGTAGACACTTGCCATATTTAATTTAACCCTTTGTGGTGACTTGTTTAGTTAAGGTTATCCTCTTGTGGTTGTTCCTGGGACTTGAGTCTCAGCCATGAAGTTATGTTACTTATTTGTTTTTGGTCTTTTTGAGACAAGGTCTCCTGTAGCCCCAGCTGGCCTGGAACTTGCTATGTAGACCAGGCTGACCTCAAACTCACAGAGATCTGCCTGCCTCTGTCTCCCGAGTGCTGGGATTAAAGGTGTGAACCACCATGCCCAGTGAAGTTATGTTAGTTTTTTAACCAGTCCTTTGTAATCTCCTTTTAGTCCGCCACCATTCCTCTGTTCATGAAAAACAAAGATGTCACTGCAGAAGCGGTGAGTGCCTCATGCATACACAACCTGTCCTGCATTCTCCTTTCAGCTGAGCAGAAAGGAAATCAAAATCTTTGCTCTTTTCAGGTCACAGGTAGTGGCAAAACCTTGGCTTTTGTCATCCCTCTCCTGGAAATTCTTCTGAGAAGGGAGGAAAAGTTAAAGAAGAGCCAGGTGAGAGAGCTGGCCTGATTGTGGGAGAATCAGGAGGGCTCAGGACTGAGAAGAAGCTGATCAGAAACTTCAGAAACAAAAGACAGCTGAGCCTCAGTATTTGAGAAGTCTATGTTTTTAATTTTTCCTGCTTGTTAAAATGTACAAACCAAAGTTGATACTGGGGTACTCTCTCCGTGCTGGGAGTTAATACCATGCTGGGCACTCATGCTAGGAGCTCTTGCTATGCTGGGTACTCTCCTATACTGGGTGCTTTTTCGGTCATTCATGGCTATGGGCACAACTGCCTTCCATTTTAGCCCTCGTACTATACCTTATGGTTACCTTTCACATTTATGTGGCTTTTTTTGTTATTTTGCGTTGCTTAAGTCTCTGTCTCCCCAAGCACAGTGCTGAAGTGCTGTCAAATGTTCCTGGCCACAGGGTATGTACAGAGAAAACATGCATCAGATGAGCTTCCTTTTGGCACAAAGTGCAGTGCTGCTGCTGGCTGTGGGTTCACAGAGCAAATCATGTCCCTCGTTCATCAGTTTATTTCCTTTTTTAAAAAATTTTTGATGCTGGAGATGAGCCCAGGGCCTTGTGTGTGGTAGCAAGTGTTCTCCTTTGAGCTACACCCCAAGCCTTCAAAGTATGTGGTTGCGTTCTGGGACCTGAGGCTGCTGCAAAGGTCTAGAAACTGAAGGTGGAGGGTGCAGGGCTTGTGTGTTTTGCCCTGGGGCCCACACACTGCTGACCCAGTGGCTTCCTTCTATACTGACAGGTAGGAGCCATAGTCATCACCCCCACTCGGGAGCTGGCTATTCAGATCGATGAGGTCCTGTCACATTTCACAAAGCACTTCCCCCAGTTCAGGTAAATTGGGTTCAGGATCCCTGGAAGCTCAAGTTGTTTTGCCTGATTTGCTCCAAGGCCCATTTCTTGTTTCAGCCAGATTCTGTGGATTGGTGGCCGGAACCCTGGAGAAGATGTGGAGAGGTTCAAGCAGCAGGGGTGAGCTTGTGTGTTCCTGCCCCTGCTCCTGCCTGTGCCTGTTTTGGCCTTGAGCTTGAAGATCCATGGGGACTTGAGGCTAACTGGAAGTGCTCCCTAGTGACTGCAGAGGGCTCTTTCTCCAGTTTCACCTCCTGGTTCCTTTGGCCCTAAGAGCATTTCATAGGCTCAGGTTTCCTTGGGGGTCATGGCAGGTGTTCGAGCACTCTAGTCCAGCCATTGCCTGGGCAGACTGTGGGTTTCTGATTGCCAGATTGCACATTTTATTTTATTTATTTTATGTATATGAGTGTTTGCCTGTATGTATATATGTATGTATACCACATGCATACCTGCAAAAGCCAAAAACGGGCTTTATATTATCTGGAACTGGAGTTACAGATGGTTGTTAGCTGCCATGTGGTGCTGAGAACTGAACCCAGGTCCTCTGCAAGAGCAGCAGATGCTCTTAACTTTTGAGCCAACTCTTCGGCCCCAGCTTGTGAATATGTTAAAGGATGGAATCCAGATGTGTATGTCTTCTGATTTTTTATTTTATTTTATGTGTATACATGTATTGCCTACATGTAGGTAAGTGTACCTCCAGCCCCATCTTCTGATTTTTTTTTTTTTTTTTTTTTTGGTCTTTTTGAGACAGGGTCTCCCTGTAGCCTCAGCTGTCCTGGAATTCATTATGTAGACCAAGCTGGCCTTGGACTCACAGAGATCTGCCTGCCTCTGCCTCCCTAGTGCTGGGATTAAAGGTGTGCGCCAGGCCTGATTTTTTTTTTTTTTTAAACTGTTAAATGTAGTCTACATTGTACAAAAACAACTTGAAGGCCAGCTAGTGTGCAGGGACCACATATGACTTTCAGCCTGCTAGCTAGTTCCCTGCCCCCTTCTCTTTCCCCTTTCTCCTTCTCTTGTTGCTGGGATTTGAACCCAGGGAGTCATGCATGCTAGGTAACTTCTGTACCCTGAGCTACCCTAGCCCCAGTTCGTTCCTTCAGTTGAGTTCCCTGACAAGGTGCTCTAGGTGGACAAACTCTTGTTAGCATGTGGGCCATGTGGCTTCTTCATGTTACAATTCCTTAGCTGCTGTACAGAGTGATGGAGGAAACAGTACATAGTAGGAATGTTGTAGCTATGTGCCAACATGCCAGTGTGGTCAGTGTGGACTTTGGGCTGAAGCTTGCCCATTCTGCCAGGGTCCTGACCTAGACCCAAATCCCTCTCCCTCCCAGGCCTTGTACTCTCTACCCTGCAGCTCTTTCTCCTCACTGGGATGTAGATGACGGGGGTGGGGGGAGTGAAACTTGGTATTTTGGTAGCTATCATCCTTTTTCCTGAGCTCTAGAGCACATGGTAAACAGGAACTTTATTTCCAAAGTGGGAACATCATTGTGGCTACTCCCGGCCGCCTAGAGGACATGTTCCGGAGGAAGGCTGAGGGTCTGGACCTGGCCAGCTGTGTGAGGACTCTGGATGTCCTGGTGCTGGATGAGGCAGACAGACTTCTGGACATGGGCTTTGAGGCAAGGTACCAGAGTTCGGACCTCCCTGACAGTAGGTGGGTGGGTGACACCTGGTAGCACGACCTGGTAGCACGTGAAATATGGTTCCTGTGTTACTTCAAGACTGAGTGTTCTGACTGTCAGTGTTAGCATTTCAAGTACTAGGTAGCTTGGCTCTTCAGGTTCTCTCACACAATTTAATCCCATTCTTTCACTTAATCAGTGTATTTGTGTTAAATTTTGACAGAGTCTCACTGTGGTTTGAACCAATCCTCTTGCCTCTTGTCTTCTGAGTGCCAAGATTAGAGGTATGGGCCACTCTATGCCTGATTAATTCCAGTTTTTTCTGTCTTTGATCTTCTGAAATTGTGTTTTCCTTTATGATTTCTCTAATTTTTGTTGTAGTTTAATAGATTTCGGGGGGGATGTTATTCACATATGTAGGTAGCTCTCCATATAGTTCATATGGATTTTAGTCTTACATTGTCTTTCACGTTTACATTGGAGAAGCCTTGAAAGTACAAAGAAGGAACAAACTCACCCATACTCTCACCTCACAGTGGTGTTACCTGAAAGTGTCTTGATGGCTTCTCCTTCAATCTTTTTCTCGGTTAGCTAGTGTTTTCAGTGCTAGAGACCAAGCCCAGGGGCTTCTTGCAATGTTGGCAAGTGTTGTATCACTGAGCTACATCCCTAGCCATCTGGTCTTTTTTTACATTTATTTATATATCTTGGGAGTAGTGAAGGGGGTGCATGTGCCTGTGCCTGCGAGTGTGTGAAAGCATGCATGTGGAGGTCAGGGGACAACCTGGTTCTCTCCTTCCGTCATGTGAGTTCTGAGGATCAGACTCAGGTCATCAGGTTATCAGGCTTGGAGGTCGAGTGCCTTTACCTGCCACACTACTTACTGGCCCTCAACTGGTCTTTTTACTTTTGCTTTCGTTTTGTGTCAGGGTCTTCCTCTGTAGCCCAAATTGACCTTGAATTCTTGGCAGTCCTCTTGCCTCAGCTTCACCAGTGTCTTTCCATACCTATTTCTTTCTAATTTGTGTGTGTGTGTGTGCTCCTGCCCCTGCAATGTGGAGGTAAAAGGACAGCTTTGTGGAGTTGTTTCTGTCCTACTTTTATGGCATGTCCTCAGGTTTTTGCGGCAAACACTTCAGGTTCTTTACCTGCTGAACCACCAGCCCTCCTCTGGTCTCTTCTGTGCCTGTGCAGCATTACGAGGCGCTGCTTGCTGGTAGTGCTGGCAGGTGAGGGATAGGCAGACACTTTTATTTTCAGCATAAACACTATCCTGGAGTTTTTGCCAAAGCAGAGGAGAACTGGCCTCTTCTCAGCCACGCAGACGCAGGAAGTGGAGAACTTGGTGCGAGCAGGCCTACGGAACCCTGTCCGAGTCTCAGTCAAGGAGAAGGGCGTAGCGGCCAGCAGCACCCAGAAGACACCATCCCGCCTGGAGAATTACTACATGGTGAGTGCTGTGGCTTGCTGCTTGGTACTGCTTTGCAGTAATGATGCTTGAGACTCCCCCAGGAAAGTGAATCTACAAGTATTACCTTGTGGCACATTTAAAATACATTTGGGGACATAACTAGGATATGTGGTTGAATGGCAAATGGCCTTACTTGTTGAATGAGTGACTAAGTTAATTTAGGCATAAATATATTTTTAAAATTTTTATTTATTTATTGTGTGTATGCATCATGCTTGTGGAAGTCAGAGGGCAACTTAGGAAAGTCGGTTCTCTTTCCACCATGTGGGTCCTGGAGATTGACCTCAGTTGTCAGGTTTGACAGTAAGCACCTTTAATTGTTAAGCTGTCTTGCTGGCCCAAGCATAAATGTATTTTAAGCACAGTGTCTCTGAAGCTTCCATCCCAAAGTAAGCATGTTTGATCACACTTGTCTATGTATGTTTGGGGACTGTTGGGTTTAGCCTGTGGTTTTTAGGTTGGCAATACTGGCCTGCATCTCAGAAGGCAGAGCTAGGTGGGCACGTTTAACACAGAATGTCATGCAGACCTTAGGAGAGGTGTTAGGTACTTGCTCTGTTCCACAGTTGACTGTCCTGGGTTTCTGACTTGAATCTGAACCCTGTTGTCTTTGTGGGAAGAGGTCTCAATTGTCCTAAGGTTCCCCTGTAAGGGAAGGGATGGGCATTGGGGAATTTTATTGTTTAGTAATGAGGCTGTGCTAGTTTGGTTCTCTGTTGCTGTGATAAATACCATGACCAAAGCAACTTGGGGAGGAAAGGGTTTATTTCAGCTTACAACTCCCAGGTGATAGTCCATCACTGAGGGAAGTCAGGGCAGGAACCTGGAGGCAGCAGATGGAACAGAGACCATGGAGGAATGCTGCTTACTAGCTTCTTCTCTAGTTTTCTTCTCAGGTTTTTTTTTTTTTTTTTTTTTTTTTTTTTTTTTGGTGATTATTTAGACTATAAGGCTGTGGGCCATTGAGATGGCTCAGTGAATAAAGGTGCTTCCACCAAACTTGACATTCTGATTTCTACCCCTGGAACCCACACAGTATAGGGAGAAAGCTGAGACCTGCCAATTGTCCTCTGACCTCTGTGTGCCTGTTCCCACCTTAGCAAATAAATGTAATAAATAGGTAATTTTAGTTGTGCTGGGTGTGGTGGTACATACCTATAATCTCAGCACTCTGGAAGTGAAGGGAGGAGGATCAGGAAGGCCACTGTCTCCTACATAGTAAGTTTCAGGTCAGCCTGGGCTACATGAGACTTTGCCTCAAAAAAAAAAAAAGGCTGAAATGGAAAACAACTATGGAGATTAATTAGTTTAGATATTTTTTTAACCGGGCATGGTGGCACACACCTTTAATCCCAGCACTTGGGAGGCAGAGGCAGGTGGATCTTTGTGAGTTTCAGGCCTACATAGTGAGTTCCAGGAAAGCTGGAGCTACAAGGAGACCCTGTATCAAAAAAACAAAAATTTAAAAAAAAAATTGGACATGTATGAGTGTTTTGCCTGCATGTATGTAACTGTACCATATGTGTACAGTGCTCATGGAAGGCAGGAGAGGGTGGGTGTGGATCCTCTGGAATTGGCATTACACATTGTTGTGAGCTGCCGTGTGGGTGCTGGGTATTGAATTCCAGCAAGTGCTCTTAACAGCTGAACCATCTTTTCAGCCCCAGGATTAATTTTTTATTTTATTTATTTGAGACAGGGGTCACCCTGTAGCCACAGCTGGCCTGGATCTCCTAATGTAAATCAGCCTGGCCTGGAACTCACAGAGATCCACCTGCCTCTGCCTCCAGATTGCTGGGACTAATGGTGTATACCACCATGCCCAGCTAATTTATTTTTAAAAGTGTTTTTGTTTTCCCTCTTGTAGGTATGTAAAGCAGATGAGAAATTTAATCAGCTGGTCCATTTCCTTCAGAATCACAAGCAGGAAAAGCACCTGGTCTTCTTCAGGTACTTGTGGGCTGGAGGCAGCAGGCAGGGAGCAGGATGTGCAGGGGAAGGTTCTTGGATGCAGTATCTGAGAGAACTGGAATCCCAGATTCTGTTGTCATGCTGGCAAGACGTCCATAGGTGGGCAGCTTCTTCCTCCATTGCAGTATCTCAGCACTGTCAAGTTGGTGTTTCTGAAGTTGTGTGGCCCTTTTCTCCTAAATGTCATCCCACAGCTTCCAGATGACCACTGTATGGCCTTGTCATGTCTTCACTGAAGGTAGATAAAGCTGAGAAGTGGGGCAGAAGGGCATGCTACCTGTGTCCATCCCTTTCAGTCAGGAAAGCAAAAGCCTTTCTCAGACACTGTACTCTGGAAAAGCAGGTGAAGGAAGAAGTGTTGGGACTGGCTTGCCCAGTCACAGGGGCCTATGTCCTGTTGCCACAAGCCAAACAGGAACATGTGCCTTCTTTGGGTTGGCTTGGTTTTTCTGTCCCTCCTGCCCAGTTAATCTGTGCTGTTTTTTGGCCGCACCAGAAAGATTTTATATCTAATAAAATGCATTAGCTGTATCGACCAACTAACAGGAAGAAATAAAACCAACCACTAGGGCTGGAGGCCCATACCTGTTATCCCAGCACTTGGGAGTCTAAGGCAAAAAGATGGAAACTTCAAGTCCCATCTGGACAACGTAATATTGTGTCACAAAAGATAAAACAAAGCTGTGCATGGTGATGCACACTTTTAATCCCAGCACTTGAGAGACAGAGGCAGGTGGATCTCTGTGAGATTGAGGCTGTCCTGGTCAACATAGTGAGTTGTAGGCCAACTGGGACTATAGGGAGACTGTCTCAAAGACCAAAAGAACAAAACAAACAAAAACCCCAAAAGAAAAAAAGAACAAAAACCAAATAAAACGGGGTATACTCATGCACATGCACATATAACAGGTTTGACAAAACTGTCTTTTAGGCTGGATGGATGCATGCTCATGTTTTCTGTCCTACTCTTTAGTTTGTTGAACATGTTGGCTGAGACCTACTCTGTTGATGTCAGGGCCCTCCAGATTCCTTTCAAGATTTGTGGTTGTGACCCATGGTATCTAAAACACCCCCTTATTGTATACCTTGTGGTTCAAGGTGGTAAACGGCAAAGAATCTGGTAGTGGTCACAAGCTGGACATGGAATGTGCACCTGGTGTCATGGGAGGAGCTTGGGTGGGTATAGGTGGTGTGTGCCTTTGTACTGGGTCTGCCACTTGCTCATGCTGTGCAAGGATGTGGAGTTCTCTCTGGATAAAAGGGGAAAACTGGGTGTGGTAGCTTATATCTGTGAACCCAGCACTCAGGAGGTTGAAGCACAAAGATCAATAGTCTAAGGACAGCCTGGGCTACATAGTGAGATCATGTCTCAAAAAAAGAAGAGGAAAGAATTTGGAGTGAACTTTTATTAGACATTTACTGTAAACAGCTTAAAGACAGAAATTTTGAATGACCAGTCCCTAGGGAAGGCAAAAGCCCTCAAGAACTTCTTAGCAGAGGTTTATGAGCTGTCTCCACAGGATGCCTTTATTGGGGTGACCCTTGTTGCAGCCTATTGTCCTTTGTCCTTGGCTTACTCAGCTGAAAGTCCACAATTTCTGGAAGAGAGGCTCTATTGAAGTGGATTTTGGTGAACCTTTGAAAATAATGCTAACTGGGCAGGAGGTCTCCACAGGAAGAATACTTTGAAATCTTCAGACTGTTTCTATCTACATGGTCACTGTTTGTTCTGAATGGCTATGTTGGGCAGGGAGACCCTTTTGACTGGGTCATCTTTAGACAGTAGGATACATGCTCAGGGTTTGGACTGGCATTTGAGGGATTTTGTCTGAGACTGCCCTAGCATGGCCTGGGACTCTCCCATGCAGAGCTTGGCTGGAGCTGCTTTTAGCTGGTCTCACTCACTCTCCCTGGGAGGATTCCTGACCAGCTATGTGTCTGCTGCTCTCCAGCCTTCCCCAGTCTCCGGATGGAGTTGGCTTGGGACTTAGCACTTTTTGTTGTCTTCCATAGCACCTGTGCCTGTGTGGAGTATTATGGCAAGGCCCTGGAGGCCCTAGTGAAGAACGTGAAGATCCTGTGCATTCACGGGAAGATGAAGTACAAACGCAATAAGATCTTCATGGAGTTTCGTAAGCTGCAGAGGTGGGTTGGGGGGCTTCATCGGTGGCAGCAGCTCTCCAGTCACCCCTTGCTTTTGTAAGTCCCTACACTCACCTGTTCTCCCTCTGCCTAAAAGTTGCCTGCCTACAGCCTCTTTCTTCTCGTACTAAAGTTACTACATCTTTATAGAGATGCTCAGAACCTCATTTGTGCCCCAGCCCCTGTACACTGTACTGGGAACACTTGCTGGGTTACTGGACTTCCCTGCTCTATTATAGGCCCTATAAGGACAAGAACGTCACGTATGTTCATTCCTGCATCTCCTGGGGCCCAGCCCAGTGGAGCTTTCAGGAATTGCTTGCTCCTGGGTAAATAGCCACATTGTGACAGAACCTATTGTAGGGAGCTGGCACTAATTTGGACTTTCCTAGTGAACATGGCTGTTTCTGGTTTCTCTAAGCCTTGTATGGCTACATGAAAACAACCACAAGAGCACAGTGCACACCCTCCTCTTGTCCCTGAGTCACAGAGTGAAAATGTTGTTTTCCACAGTGGCTGCTGAGGGTTGATCCTGTAGTATGTTTTATTTCTCTCAAGTGGAACTACATTAAGAAATCTTAAGGGACTGGAGCGATGGCTCAGCAGTTAAGAACGCTGGTTGTTTTCTTGCAGAAGACCCAGGTTTGAATCCCAGCACCCACATGGCAGTTAACAACTGTCTGTAACTCTAGTCCTAGGGGATCTAACAACCTCTTCTGACCTCCTTGGGCATTGCATGACATGGGTGTACTTACCTACATGCAGGCAATACACGCATACACATAAAATAAAAATAATTTTTTTAAAAAAGTTAAAAATATTAAGCCAGGTATGTGGTACATGCCTATAATTCTAGCTCTCTCAGGAGACTGAGACAGGACTACAAGTTCAAGGCCAGCCTGGGCTATTCAGGGACAGGGCAACTTAGTGAGACCTTCCCTCAAAATAAAAGATGGGGGCTGGAGAGATGGCTCAGCAGTTAAGAGCACTGGCTGCTCTTATAAAGGACCCAGGTTTGGTATCCACAGGGTGGCTAACAACTATTTGTAACTTCACTATAGGGGATCCAAGGCCCTCTTCTGACCTCCTCGGCTGGTATTGCATGACAGGGGTGCACTTACACATATGCAGGCAATACACTCATACACATAAAAAATAATAAATTAACCTAGGCATGGTGGCGCATGCCTTTAGTCCCAGCACTCGGGAGGCAGAGGCAGGTGGATCTTTGTGAGTTCAAGGCCAGCTGGAGCTACAGGGAGATCCTGTCTCAAAAAAGACCAAAAAAATAAAATAAAAAGTAAACAGTGGCTGAGTTTGGCTTATTGGTAGGTTTTCTTGGCCTGTGTGAGGCTCTGGGTTCCATCCCTAGTACTAGGGGGAAAAATCTTTTTGCTGTCTCCTCCACTCCCCATTTTCCTTAGAGATTTATAGTCTGGATAAGTTGTAGGAAGAAGGAGAAAAAAATCAAAATATAACAAAAAGTACTTGTTTGGGGGCTGAAGAGATGGCTCAGTGCTTGCTTAAGAGCACTTGCTCTTACAGAGGACCTAGGTTCAGTTCCCAGCATGCTCATGGCAGCTTGCAACTGTCCATAACTTCAGTTCTAGGGGCTTCAATGCCCTCTTCTGGCCTCTATGGTTACTAGGCATTGCATGATACACTTACATACATGCAGGCTAATACTCATACACACATACACAAAAAAAAACAGTACTTGTTCTATGAGAAACCCCAGAGCCTTGTGCTGCTGTCACTGAGGCCAGTGTGCTGAAGGTTATGGAGAGGTTGACTTCCTTCCTCACAGTGCTGCTTTCTCCTTCCTAGTGGGATTCTGGTGTGCACAGATGTGATGGCCCGGGGAATTGACATTCCTGAAGTAAACTGGGTGTTGCAGTATGACCCTCCAAGCAATGCCAGGTATGTCTGACAGAATAATCCTTTGAGAATTGAGCTAAGCAAAATAGGAACCTAGAGGGAGGTAAACATGCACGGCAATATCAAACAGTATTTTATTTATCTTGAGACAGGTCTTATTTAACCTAAGATATCCTTGAATTTCTGATCCTCCTGCCTTTACCTCCTGAGTCCTGGGATTACAGATGTGTATCACATATCACCAATCCTCATTTATGCAGTGCTGGGAATTGAATTCAGGGCTTTGTGTATGCGAGGCAAGCACTCTGTCAACTGAAGTACATCCCTAACCCCTAAAACATTATTATTAATTATTATTATTATTATTTTGGTCTTTTTGAGGCAGGGTCTCCCTGTAGCCCTAGCTGTCCTGGAACTCAATATATAGACCAGGCTGGCCTTGAACTCACAGAGATCTGCCTGCCTCTGTCTCCCAAGTGCTGGGATTAAAGGAGTGCGCCACCACACCCAACTAAAACATTATTTTAAATAGCATAGCAAACAAAAGGAGGCAAAAGAGTGAATAGATTGTTTTTTTTTTTTTTTGGAAGGGGAAGTAGAGGAAGTATATACAGAGATTAGAGTCAAAACACAACCTTCCAAATTCTTGAATTGTAAGTAATTTAGAATGGCTCAAGTGCAGAGCATGTGAATAGCTTTTGATGTGTTAGTAGTGGTGCCTTACTTTCAAAGAGCTGGCTGCATTGGTTCACACCTGTAATCCCAGTAGGAGGCTGAGTTTAGAATAGTCATGAGTTCAGCACTTGCCTGGGCTACTGAGTTGACATGCTGTTTCAAAATGGAAATAAGAAACAAAAATTTCTAATACTGAAAGTTTTTGCAGAAGTGCAAATTATAGAACATTGAATGAAATGAAAAAAAGCAACAAACCACTATAAGAATGTTGCAGTTTTCTGTGAAGCAAATGTACACATCTCAGTGTAAAATAGTGTTGAACACAAACCACAAGTGACGTCACTCCTGTCATTCTAGCTCCTTTTTCTTATTTTTTATTGCTTCTGTTTTCCCCTGCACCCCGCCTGTGTGATCTGAGAAAGCCTGGCTTCCCTTAGGTTTTTTTGGAGTCATGGACTGGGTCTCAGTCCTGTCTGTAGTGTCTGTTCACTGCCCCTTGCATATTCTCACTGGTTGGTGGCCAAGTTGGCCCTGAGCTGTGGGGCTTGGTGGCTCCTTGCAGCATCATAGCTGCAACAGCCATACAACTGGAGTCTGGGCTCTTGCTCCCCACCATGTCCCCAGCGCCTTCATGCATCAGGAGCTTGGGCTTTGCTCACCATCACCCTGAGCTCTGGCTCCCACTCTGTTTCCTCTAGTGCCTTTGTGCATCGCTGTGGCCGCACTGCCCGCATTGGCCACGGCGGCAGCGCTCTGGTGTTCCTACTGCCCATGGAAGAGTCCTACATCAATTTCCTGGCGATTAACCAGAAAGTAAGCTCCTTCTTCTCTGAACAGGCAGTGATAAGTAGCTGGGAAAGTTCTTTAGCACATGGTCAGAAACTTAGAGGAGGGGCTGCAGACTCCCCTGGGTTGGGCAGAGGTGTCAGCATGGCTGTGGAGACACTGGCCGCAATGAGGTGAGCACCACTGCTTCTGCCACTGCTTGATTGTGGCTTGGGAATATGTGCTTATTGTTGACCTATGAGCTTCCCAGATCATTAGGTAAAATGTCATTTTCAAACTTAAAAAAAAAAAAAGAAGAATCAAAATACTTTGGGTTTGGGCACTAGGCTCTCAGGTTAGCGTGCACTGTGCTGTCTTCGTTTATTGGCATTGGCTGTGATGGGCATTGGGAATGGGGAAACTAGAAGGTGAGACTGTGGTCTTTGTGTAGTGCCCCCTGCAGGAGATGACCCTCCAGAGAAACACAGCCGACCTCCTGCTGAAGCTCAGGACCATGGCCCTGGCTGACAGAGCCATGTTTGAGAAGGGCATGAAAGCTTTTGTGTCCTATGTCCAGGCTTATGCAAAGCATGAATGCAACCTCATTTTCAGGCTAAAGGGTAAGCTGACATCTTGCCTTCTGTGTTTCATTTTAATTTTCTGAGGGTCTCAGGGTGAAGTTGTTTCGACTTACTAAAATGTATGGCATGTGTTAGGGTTAAGAGTTTCTAAATGTTTAAAAAGTTTTGAGGTAAAAAGACAGAATAGGGACTGGAGATATGGCTCAGTGGTGAAGAGCACTGGCTGCTCTTGCAAAGGACCTGGGTTCGTGGGGGCTAACCATCTGTAACTCCAGTTCCAGGCGATCTGATGCCCTCTACTGACCTCCATGGGCATTGCATGACACAGGTGCATCTACCTACATGCAGGCAATACACTCATACACATAAAATAAAAATAATAAATATTGCTGGGTATGTTGGCGCATGACTTTAATCCCAGCACTCGGGAGGCAGAGGCAGGCGAATCTCTGAGTTAAAGGTCAGCCTGGTCTACATAGTGAGTTCCAGAACAGCTGGGGCTACAGGGAGACCCTGTCTCCAAAAAAAAGACCCTCCCCCCAAAAAAATTTTTTTAAAAATTTAAAAAGACAGAATAAATTGCCCACTCATTGCCTGTTTTTTACCTTGAAAAAAATGTCATTAAAAAAAAATATTCTTATGCCAGGTGTAGTGGCACAGGCCTTTAATCCCAGCATCTGGGAGGCAGAGGCAGGTGGATCTCTTGAGGTCGGCTTGGTCTACATAGTGGGTTCTAGGCCAGCTGGGGCTACAGGAAGACCCTAGCTCAAAAAAAAAAAAAGTCTTGGGGGCTGGCAAGATGGCTCAGCTGTTAAGAACACTGGCTGCTCAGAGGACCTACCTGGGTTTCGTTCCCAGCACCTACATGGCAGCTGACAGCTGTCTGTAACTCCAGTTCCTGGGGATCTGACACTCTCCTCTGATCTCTGTGAGCATTATATGACATGGGTACACTTACATACATGCAGGCAGAACACTCATACACATATGTTAAAAATTTTTCATTAATAAGCTAGGCGTGGTAGCACATGCCTTTAATCCCAGTACTCGGGAGGCAGAGGCAGGTGGATCTCTGTGAGTTCAAGGCCAGCCTGGTCTATATATCGAGTTTTAGGCCAGCTGGGCCTCTAACCAACCAAAATTCTACTTATGGAGCTGGAGATGGCTTAGCAGTTAAGAGCACTTGTTACTCTTGCATAGGACCTGGTCTGAGTTCAGTTTCTAGCACCCTTGTTGGGTAGCAGCTTACAACTGCCTTTAACTCCAGCTTCAGGGGATCTGATGCCTTCTGGCCTCTGTAGACATCTCCACATATGACATCATGGCATTCACACACACACAAAAATAAGTCTGTCCTATCCTAGGTTGCTCTCCTGTTATTGTGGTAAAACCCATGGTCAAAAGCAAAAGCTTGCTGGGTGTGATGGCACACGCCTTTAGTCCCAGCACTTGGGAAGCAGAGGCAGGCAGATCTCTGTGAGTTCGAGGCCAACCTGGTTTACATAGCAAGTTCCAGGTCAGCTGAAAAAAAAAAAAAAAAAAAAGCAGGACTTGGGGATTTAGCTCAGTGGTAGAGCACTTGCCTAGCAAGCACAAAACCCTGGGTTCAGTCCTCATAGCCCATTATTGAGGGAAGTTGGGACAGGAACTGAAGGCAAGAGCTTGAAGCAGAAACCACTGCTTCCAGTTCACATTCACAGTACCATCCACAGTGGGTTTGGCCTTCTTACATCAATTAGCAATCAAGAAAATTCCCCACACACAGATACATCCACAGGCCAGTCTGATGGAGGAAATTCCTCAACTGAAGGTCCCCCCGCCCAGGTGTGTCAAATTAACCGAATCTATGACAGTGTAAAAAATTCTAATTAAAGTGAATTTGTTATCTGATTAGAAAAGATTAATGAACACCCCCTCTCTCTTGCCCCCTGGTCAACCTTTGTGCTAATTTTGAGTTCTTGGTTTCATCAGATCTTGACTTTGCTAGTCTTGCGAGAGGTTTTGCCTTGCTGAAGATGCCCAGGATGCCAGAACTGAGGGGCAAGCAGTTTCCAGAATTTGTGCCTGTGGACATCGATACAGACACAATCCCGTTTAAAGATAAAATTAGAGAAAAGCACAGGCAGAAACTTCTGGAGCAAAAAAGAAAGGAGAAAACAGAAAACGAAGGGAGAAGAAAATTTATCAAAAATAAAGCCTGGTCAAAACAGAAGGCCAAAAAGGAAAGGAGGAAAAAGATGAATGAGAAAAGGAAAAGAGATGAGGTAAAGCATACAGTTTTCTTATTCCTTAAATTCCAACTTGGAATTCTGAATAGATTTTACTATAAAGACTTTTTATTTTTAGACAAGATCTAGGCCTTGGTTGGCCTAGAACTGAGATCCACCTGCCTCTGCCTCCTGAGTGTTGGGAATACAGGTATATACCACCATGCCTGGCATAAACAATCTTTTAAGAGCATTCAGAACAGCTTGGTGGCCTGTGCCTACATTTTCAGTACTTAGGAGACTGAGGATCAGGTTCAGGGCTAGCCTGTGCTATGTAGAACCCTTGTCCAATGCCCGATCACCAATTTGGGGGAGCCATGGTGGGGAACTGAATGTAGGTCCTTAATGAGTTTTGCTGGCTTCTCTAGAGCACTGTGGTGACACTTGTTTGTTGGCTTGTTCTGTACCCAGGGTTCTGACATTGAAGATGAGGACATGGAAGAACTACTTAATGACACAAGACTCTTGAAAAAGTTTAAAAAAGGCAAAATCACAGAAGAAGAATTTGAGAAGGGGTTGTTGACAAGTGGCAAAAGGACAGTGAAACTGACACACTTGGGGATCTCAGACTTGGAAGATGACTGCTGACCCCAGAGCCTAAGGCCCCACAGTCAGGGCTTCTCCCACTGGAGGGCAGAATTTCAAGAGACACCTCAGAAGACTGTTCCAAAAAGCTGTCTGTTCAGACTGGGGAAAAATGAAGGACTGCCATACTTGTGAATACCACAAACCTACTAGTGCTGTTTACTCATATACACATTGAAGTATGCTTGATTTTAGGCATTGTAAAATTTCAAATTATTTCTGGGCATCCTGCTTCCCCAGGCGTCCTTTGCTGCTCCTCCCAGAACACCTGCAGGGTAGAGTTGCTAGTGTACAAGGGTTTATTTTTTCCTTCCTTTTTAAAATTTTATCTTTTTGAGACAGGGTCTCCTGAAGCCCCAGCTGGCCTGGAACTCACTATGTAGACCAGGCTGGCCTTGAACTCACAGAGGTCTGCCTGCCTCTGCCTCCAGAGTGTTGAGATTAAAGGTGTGCCTGTGTGTGTGTGTGTGTGTATGTGTATGTAGCAGGAGGCCTCCAAAGATGGCACGGACCCAGAGAGCTGGGATTCAATGAGAGTTCACTTCACTTCCTGGCCTGTAAATAGCCCGCCAAAAGGAGCCCGTGCTTCTGTACCCTGCCCGTGAGCCTAGTGACTGCTGATGCAAACATTGCATAGCATGGACCAGCCAGAAAACAATACACTGACTAAAGGGACTTGGGGGAGGAAATATAAGGCCTTGGGACTTATAAGGCAAGGGACTTGGGAGAAAGGGAAATATAAGGCCTGCCCCCCTCCTGCATTAAACGAGCCTGTAGCACCTTGCCTAGTGCTTGCTTCTACCTGTCTCCCGGTGTCTGTGTGTTCTCTGCACCTCTTGCCCCCACCCCCCAATTGGCAGGGGACCCAATCCAGGTCAGGGTCTTCACAGCTGACTCGAGGAGGACCTGCAATGCCTGGTGCCCAAACAGGGACCCCTGCCCATGGTGTTGCCGACACCCAGGACCTTGGTTTGTTCAGTAAGTAGGCCCCTGGATTTGTCTGTTTCTTGGGCTGCTTGAGGGTGAGCAAGTAACCCCCTCCTCTGTCCCCTCCACCCTGTCTGTCATTTTTATTGTTAGACTAGTTTGTTAAATCAGAGAGGCACACTCCGCCATGTGGTCCCGAAGCCCATGTCGGCACCTCTCCCCTCTTGGCTCATCCCAGTGAGTTCACATAAGGGCTGATCCACCCCGAACTCAGAGCCCAGGCTTCGGGTCACCCTGTTGCCTGTCCCAGAGACACTGTGTGAGCATATGGCTGAAGGGGTCACGGCCTTCAGAAGTCCCTCACTAAGCACAAGACATTTGGATCTGATACACCCTTACATGTTGGGGTGGTTTACATCCAAGTAGCTCATGGTGCTTCTTTGCTTCCTCTGTGCACTCTTGGTAGTCACCCTTATCTTCTACTTTTATGGCAAATTCCCCTTTGAGAGACCCTCCCACAGTGGGCAATTTACCACCACAATGCAGGGAACCACAAATGGCAGCACTCAAGGTGCTCCTTAAAACCAGAGGGTTGAAAGTGAAACCAAAATATATCGAACACTTTTGGGATGAAGCCACTAATCTAGCTCCATGGGTCTCCCCTGAAAACATGTGGGACCCTAACACGTGGATGCAGGTCCTCTTCCTGGCCCAAAAAAGGGAGGTTGGGTCAGGGATCACCCCCCCCCCCCCGGCATTGTTCATACCAACCCTCCTAGCCATCATTGCTAGCCTTAAATCTTCCTCTCCTGAGGAAGTCATCATGGCCCACAACAAGCACTGCCAGGAGCAATCTAGTGTAGATCTGGCTGTTACCTCGACCCTGGACCTCCCGGACCTGGAGGTGGATGGACACTGCCTCTGCGCCCACTTCCAATAAGGAAGGAGCTCCTTTGCCTATTATCTCAGGATACTCTCCTAGAGTTACCATGACCAGAAATTCCCCCGCCCTGTTACCCGTGGAAGGAGTTACTCCCCCCGCCAATAACCATCCCACCCCTTCTGCTGCTACTGTGCCCCTCCTTCCTAGGCCGCCCTCCTTGAACCCTCACCAGCCTTTGTCCGCATTCCCGGTTAATGTCGTCCCCAATGTGGCGCAGCGTCCATGGCTGTTCACCCCACTTGCTGACCTCTCTCTTATCCATAAGGCAGCTGAGCAATCGGGGCCAACTCCCCATATTTCGAGCAGGTTCTTCGCCAGTGGTCCTTATATTTACAAACCCACTATGACTAGTATAACTTACTAAAGGCAGTCTTAGAACCCTCAGTCTTTCTAAACTGGCATGCAGCCTATGACGATCAGGCTGAGAACCAGGCATATCTAAATCTCCAATATGGCCTCAACATTACGTTGGACATGCTCACAGGATGCGGACAATTTCTGACCTCCATCTCCCAGTCTACTATTGGCCTCCATACCTATTTCCAACAAGTTTCTGATTTGGCCTTTAAGGCCCTTAAGTGTTGCTGCTCCGTGACCCACAAGTCTTTTCCCATAATTTGATTCAACAGTCAGGGGAGTCAGTCCTTCACGGACTTCCTGACCCATGTCACTGAGGCAGTAGAGCGGAGGGCGGAGTCTGGACCCACCACTTGAGAGGGCCTAAACACTCCTACTCATAATGCTATCACGCCTGTCCACAATAACATTCACAAATGGGTACTCACTACTAGAGACTTAGACCCCAGGGCGGGCCCTATTGACGCTTTGACCGCTTCCTTGGAGACTCCTTTGATGCAAGGAAAACCCGCCCACTTTGGCACAGGAAGGCTGCTGGAACTGTGGGGGGCTTGGGCACTTTTGTAGCCACTGCCCAAAAGATACAGCCCACCCCAAGACTCGCTGCCCCAAGTGCAAAAAAGGGGTTCCTCTGGGTTAAGGACTGTAGATCACAACCTCAACCGGACTTGGCTCATTTAAACTTCACCTGGGGCGCCCCTCAGCCCCGCCCACAAGAGGGGAAACGAGACAGATATTATGGACCCTCCTGATCCTCAATCACTCTCCACTAATGACCCTGTTCCTAGATGGGACTGCCATAAAGCGCCTGGTAGACACAGGGGCTGATGTCACCATTATATCAGAAACCGAATCCCTTAAATTCCCTCAATGGAAATACCGGCCAGGCCCACCAATAAAAGGAGTCGGTGGCAAACAAGATACCAAGCTGGTCACACGTCCAGTATATTGGAAGGACTTGGATGGAAAACAGGGCACAGTTACCCCCATAGTAGCAGATGTTCCCCGTAACTTATGGGGCTGAGACATCCTAAAGGACATGGGTGTGGTCCTTACCACAGATGACCATGCCTTTTAAGATGATATCATGCTCCACGATAACTTGGGACTATCAGGGAGAGGACAACACCTTCCCCAACACCCCCAATCCTAATGGCCACTGCCCGCCCGGGATCAACTCCAATCTTGGCACCCGAGCTGATCCCCATTACCTGCCTCTCTAATGACACCATTTGGGTGGACCAGTGGCTTATAATAGAACCTAAATTATCTGCCCTCAAAAATTTGGTAGCTGAACAATTGAGGCTTGGCCACATCGAGCCCTCTCTCAGTAAACATAATACCCCAATATTTGTTATTAAGAAGAAATCGGGGAAATACTTCTCCAAGATCTTAGAGTAGTTAATGCCCTGATGGAAAAAAATGGGCTCGCTACAAGTGGTCGTACCACACCCTACAGCCAGCCCCCATCCCCTCATATCATAGTACTTGATATCCAGGATTGTTTTTTCCAAATCCCCCTCGCAGAAACAAGATACACCTCACTTTGCCTTCACAATATGGGAGCCCAACTTTCAAAGAACAGTCAAGAGATACCAATGGAAGTTATTACCACAGGGTATGAAAAATAGCCCCACAATCTGTCAATTATATGTTAATAAGGCCTTAACCAACATCCCCAAGGACCTAATTGTCATCCACTATATGGACGACATACTGCTTGCACACAAATCTCACAATACTCTACAGGCTGCAATACCCAGTCTGCTTGCTGATCTAGAATATCTAGGCCTCCACATTGCATGAGACAAGTTACAATACATCCAACCTTTCACATTCCTTGGCTACCACATAGATGCAGTAATTAAACCACTTAATCCTTCCATCTTATGATCCCTCTCACCCAGCCAGCTAAGGATCTTCTTAATAAGATAGATCATATACTCTGGTCTGCGTCACTCCGACATCATGACTCAGCAGAACCATTACTGGCCTTGATCCTCTGGACTAAAAATGGTGTCCTGGGGGCACTATGGCAGCCAGACCCCCTGGTGTGGATCCACCTGGCTACCTTGGACCTAACTAGGCTTAGCTCTAAGTATGATATTGCCTTCAAGTTGGCAATTAAGGCCTGACAAACAGCCAGACACATATTCAGAAAGGAACCTGTCAAAATTATACTGCCCTTTCCTCTTAAGCATTCCCAAACATTATGGGCAGACTCTCTGGCTTTCCAACTAATGATGTCCGGGTTCATGGGGGAGTTGATAACCACACACCCCCAGATAAGCGACTGGCCAGCCTGGCCTGTTTGGAAATCACCACTCAGCCACAAGCTTACCCCTGCAAAAACCCCCTACCTTTAGCCACACTAGCCTTCTCGGATGCCAATAAGTCCCGTTATGGCATTGTCATTCAGCGCATGGGAAAGGATGATACCTATTATGTCCAAGCCAATCCCGGCTCTGTCCAGTTGGGGGAGCTCCTGGCCTTGTTAAAAATCTTCCAAGTCTGCCAGACTGAGCCGCTCAATATATTCTCTGACAGCCAGTATACGGTTCAGGCCCTCAGATGTCTTCCCTTTGCTTGGGTAAAAGGCCACAAGGATCCCATCACTAGAACCATGAGAGCTCTCCAGATCATATTAGATAACAGACAATGGCCCTAGCACATCTCCCACATAAGATCACCAAGCTCCCTGGGATCTTGGCAAAGGGAAATGACAAAGTAGATAAAATTATGTCCATAGAGATTCCCCTACTAGAACAAGCCAGAGCCTTACACCAACAATTTCACCTTTCTCCTCGCAGTCTGCACCACCTTCTACCTGACCTACCCATCTCTCAATGCAAACATCTGAGCAGGTCTTGCATTACATGTGCACCCCTTGCTCCCTTAGGCCCCCTCAATCGATATGGAGTTAACCCATGTGGTCTCCTACCCAATGCCCTCTGGCAAATGGACATCACCCATTATAACTCCTTTGGCAATCTTAAGCATGTCCATGTCATTGTTGACATCTACTCCTTTCTTTTCGCCATTGCTCAAACCGGTGAAAAGGCCTCATGCCATTAAGGTGGTCAGATCAGCAATGCTGGTAATGGGAGTGCCATGGACCCTAAAAACTGATAATGGGCCATCTTACACCTCTCTACAATTCCAATCATTCCTGTCAACATGGAAAATTAGCCACTCCCTTGGCATCCCTTATAATCCACAGGGAGAAGCCATTATGGAGCGGGCCAATAGGACCCTCAAAGAAACATTACAAAAATTTGCTACCTGAGTCTAAAAGGGACCCACACCTGGCTCTAATTAAAGCTCTATTTAACATTAATTTCCTGTCCTTCAATGAAAATGGGTTGAGCCCAGCCTACAAACACTGGGCTACCATACCTAGGCCTACACCCCTGCCACTAGTGAGATGGAAGGACACCGTAACATGTCAATGGCAATTGCCCGCCCCCTTGTTAACAAGAGGGCGAGGCTATGCTTCTGTGTTTCCTCAGACAGAAACAAAGTCAGTATGGGTTCCAGTAAGAGATGTGAGGCCAGCAACCGACCAACAGGACCCCCAGGACCCAGAGACCTCGCCGCTATCTGGATAATTGGTTTGCTTTTCCCTGCCCCTGCCATGGCCCATGATCTCTGGGCCTTGGTGGCCTCCCTGCCTATATTCTTGCCCTTATAGCTTCATTCCCCAGCCTACCCCACCCTCTATTCAACTAATTCTACGCTTGGCCTCCCCACCATGGACCCAGTTACTTCCTGGGAATCACTCAATGGCTCCTGGCCCCTAAATAACTCTATGCTTCACTACTAACAATGCATCCTCATGCATTGGGCTGTTCAACCTGACCATCCAAGATTATACTGGCAATGCCTCCTCGGGTTACGTGCTTAAACTCAAGGGTGTTTCCCCTACCTTCAACAACACCGATGTAGCTTCAGTCCTCGCTGCACTGGGGGCAATCATGGCAGGGGTGCAGAGGAGGCCGCCACCCTCCGCCCCCGTTTTGCCCTGCTATTCTATACCCACCCCCCCCAACTGTCCACACACCCGCTCCCTTGCACCCTTTATCCTCGCACTCCCCATACGGTGGCAGAGATGCCTCCCTAAGCCCAACCATGCCATCCCTCCCTTCAGCCACTCCCCCTCTGATCACCCCCTAGGATCTTGGAGACAACTGGCCCCACCTATCCCTGCGGCATTAAGATCTCCCATACCAACCGCGAGTCAATACTCAGTAACTGGGACCTCTGTGGCCCGCACACCTGCATGGACATGAGACTATTACTGGCACAGCAGGGCCTTCAGCTTTCCAACGGCACTTATCCCTCTACTTGTGCCAAAACCAAAATCCTTACATCCACTGATCACATGACATCCTGGCCCCCTACCCCCATTTGCGTTCAGCCCGTTTGCCTTACTGCTAGCCAATGTTACCTCTGATCCTTGGAGACAACTCAATTGCTCTGATACCAACACCACCTGTGTACTAGTGGCCTGCTAGAACCATCCCGCTCTCATAGTTCTCTTTATGTGTGAACCTGTGGCCCTTTGGGTTCCAGTCACCAATGCAACCCACTTCCATGCTGTCACCCTTATAGAGCAGACAGCCTTGTCACAGGACCCCCTGCTTAAAATGGGACTTCGGGGTCACTGCTGCTCTCATTTCAGCCATCATCCTTGCATTAGGTGCAGCCACCACCGCTGCGGTGGCTATCACCCAATCCACTACTGTGGAGACACTCAACAAGGTTGTGTCCAGAACCTCCTCTACCTTTCACACTCGGTCCCTTATCAATCAGCATCTTCATCAGGCAATTAATGTATTACAACAACAGATTGATCTCTTAAGAGCTGGCAATTACCAAAGGCATGGCTCTGCTAGCCTGTGACCCTCGTTTAAGTCACTTTGTCTCACCCCCTATAACGTACAAAATATTAGTAAAGCATGCCTACAACTTGCACACTATATTCATGGCCACTGGAATCAAAAGTTTCTTAATTACTCTATATTACTAACTAATCAAATTATTGCTCTAAATTATACCCGTGCCCCCACACTGGACATCAATTCAGGGTTCTTAGAAAAAAACAGGTCTAATCTAAAAGCACTGTTTGACCCGTCTTAGATCATCACCTACTCCTGTCTTAAATGCCTTATTCTTCGTTCCAGCAGTCAAAAAAAATTCAATCACTCAGTATATCAGGCCCTCAGACCAGTACACGAAGATGATTTCAACCCGCCCTATGCAGCCTGACAGACTTGGCTCACATAGATGTACAAGGCATCCTACAGATAATTCTCCACCTTGACTGATCCTCCGGGACGATACTCCTTGGAGGGCTGGTAGTCAATGACAGGTAAGCTCCTGTCGGGCTGAATCAGCCTAAGCCAGGACATGGATGTGTACACCCATGCTCCAATGATGGGTAAGGTTCATGCCCGGCTAGGACAACCTAAGACAGGCACAGTCCATAATCCTGGGGTCATCCCGAGGTGGAACTGCCTACGGCTCTCGTTGAACAGTCATTTTTAAAGAAAAAGGGTGGAAATGTAGCAGGAGGCCTCCAAAGATGGCGCGGACCCAGAGCCCTGGGATTCAGCGAAGAGTTCACTTCACTTCCTGTCCTGTAAATAGCCTGCAAAAAGGAGCCTGCCAAAAGGAGCCCTCACTTCTGTACCCTGCCCGCAAGCCTAGTGACTGCTGATGCAAACAGACTGCGTAGTGCGGACCAACCAGAAAACATACACTGACTAAAGGGACTTGGGGTAGAGAAAGGGAAATATAAGGACTGCTTCCTCCTGCATTAAACGAGCCTGCAGTACCTTGCCTAGTGCTTGCTTCTACCCGACTCCCAGTGTCTGTGTGTTGACTCTGTGCCTCTTGGCCGCACCCCTCCCAATCAGCGGGGGACCCGATCCAGGTCAGGGTCTTCACAGCTGGCCTGAGGAGGACCCGCAACATGTGTACACACCAAAGTGGCTAGCGTTTGTATAGTCACCCTGTACTGACTCAAATACCAAATTAAATCTTTCATATAGTTTATTTGAAAAGGTCTTGAATTTGTTCCCAAGTATTTTTAAAAAGCTATTTAGGATCCAAACATGTTTAAAGGAAACTGACTTTTTTTTTTTTTTTTTTTAAAGAGTTTAGGTTCAAAAATATCCTTTAAGTGGTACTGTGAGGGGTATGGCTAATGCTGTTCCAACTTAGTAGCCTTAGTTTACCCTGTCTGGCTTGATCTTGCTGAGAGGATGGAGCTTGGCTCCTGCCCACTGGAAGCCAGATGCAGTCAGCAAGTGTTTCCTGCCCTTCCTGGGAGGCACCACACGATGTGTCCTCAGCAGCTGTCAGTGTAGTCAGGAACATGCATCACTTTGATGCTGTTGGCAAGTCAGTCTGGAGTGCAGTGGGAGGGTAGGGGAGGAGAAAGGAAAGGTGTGTGGTCAGGTATACATCCAATAATATAACTTGTACTTCTGGAGACAGCAGGTGAGTTTCTGAAAACTTTAAGCATGCTGGCTTAGTTCTAGAACTGATTTTAGTCAACTGAGATGAGCTGAAAGCATCTGACTTACAGTGTGAATCCTTAGCCCATAGATCTTAGAAACAGTTCAGCTTTCGCCCCTTCGCTGGCCTGGGTGTAGAGGCTCCTCACCCCACCTAGTCATGCATCCCGATGTTGGCAAGAGGGGACTGGGCCCTCACAGATACAGTTTGATGAGCTCATCACTGACCGCCGAGGGCGTCAGCACGCCCAGGTCTGTAAACAGTAGGGTGATTAAGGATGGAGATGTGTAGTCAACCCATGGGTGCTCCTCTTTGAGGTCCTGTCCAGTCTGCACAGACTTCAGAGTATCTGCCTTATACTGAGAAGAAAAAGAGTGTTAGTTTGGTTTGCTTGGAATATCCAGGCTCTGCACTGCTGAAGCCCTGGCCTGAGCAGTTAGTGTGCTCCTGCCAGAACTGCTCTGGTAACAGGAGGCTGTCCATGCAGTGTCTGGCCAGGAGAGCATGTCAGATAATACAGATAAGGCTTCAGTGAAAGGGCTGGGCCAAAGTCACACAGCTTGTAAATGTAGAGACAGGAACTGAGCCAACAACAGTTGATTCCAAAGCTGGGATTCACTGTCCTCCTTGCCTCTTCTCTGCATGTAAAGAGTGCTGCTTAAGTACACAAGACACTGAGATGGACAACAAATGTGAGTCCAAGTTCAATAACCAGTTTGTCTTCATATGTCAAATGCTGAGGAGCTGGGCTTGGTGGTGCACACCTTTAATCTCAGCCTGTACTTCAGAGGCAGAGGCAGGCCAGCCAGGGGTACACAGTGAGACACTTGTTTAAAAACAAATCCTCAAACAGTGGAGGAAACAATGAGAAGTGAGAAACTTTCTGGAACACTGAAGTTTCAGTTTAGATCTTAAAGACCCTGTCAAATATATAAAACTTGCCTTAAACTTATCTGGGACATCTTGCTGGTTGAGGGGAAAGAGACGTACAAACTTGAAACTCTCTGCAACCACATAGAAGGGCTTGTTCTGGGCTTTGGCACACACAGCCATCTGGTTGGTTCCAATCTGGGATGTTAGAAAATGGAAGGATGAGCTTGTATAGCACATTTGAAGCCGAAGGACAGAAAGGGTGTGAATGAAGGAGGAGGTACAGTTCTTTGGAGTCAAGACTTTTTTGGAGGCAGGGGCTCATGTATCCTGTGCTGATCTTGAACTCAGTATGTAGCCATGGATGTCTTTGAACTTCTGATCCTCCTGCTTCTACCTACTTTGTGCTAGGATTACTAAAGCAGTGCATCACCTGGTTTTATGCATTGCTAGAGATCAAACCCAGGCCTTTGTGCATGCTAGGAATGCACTATACCAACTGACCTTTTAAGAAAGAAAACACAGGGCTGGAGAGATGGCTCAGAGGTTAAGAGCTCTGACTGCTCTTGCAGAGGACCCGGGTTCGATTCCCAGCACCCACATGGCTGCTAACAACCTTCTGTAACTCCAGTTCTAGGGTATTCAACACCTTCTTCTGACCTCCATAGGCATTGCATGACATGGGTACACTTGAATACATGCATGCAATACACTCAACACAAAAATAATAAATAGAATAAAAAAATTATTTAAAAAAAGAAAGAAAACAGTTGTTCCCCCAAGATAAATGGTCCCTAAGCACCCGAAAAGGTGCTCCCCACAGCTTAAGGAAAAGTAAATGAAGCCCACGAGAAGCTAACACCTCATATCCCCAGGGACACAGATGCTTGTTGACCAGTGTCCACATGGTTGGCCTACATAATGGAGTACTATTAAGCAAAGAGAGGAATGGAGTCTGGCATATGCTGCAATATAGATGAATCTTGACAGCATAGGGAGTGAAACTTGTCAAACTCCAGAGGGTGAGCATTATGTGAATTATGCATTATTTGTGGTCTTAGAACTGGTCAAAGACTGAAAGTACAACAGAGGTGACCAGGGACATGGAAAGGACACCTAGGAATAATGAAAGTTTTGTAAACGTACACTGGTGACAGCATGGGATGTGGATGCACTTAATGCCACTGAACTGAACCCTTAAGATGAGAACAGCACACACACCTTAACCACATCATAACTAAGGCATCATGAAGCTTTTCCAAGCTGAGTAATAGAGAAATTATGAATATACTGAGACTGAACATGCTGAATTAAAATGAAAACAAAAATCAGAAGCCTCAACTTCAAGTAAAATCTCTTCTGCCTGGGTATGGTAGAACATGCCTGTAATCTCAGTACTTGGGAGGTACAAGAATCAAGAGTTCAAGGCCAGCCTAGCTTCCCAAGACTCTGTCTCCAAAAAAAAAAAAGCAAAATTCACTAAAAATCCAAACAGACACATCCATTTTGTATAAATATAAGCAACAATGGCTTGAAATCCACAGAGTCAATCTCCAGAGAGGGAGGTTTGGCAAAGGTCCTCCTCACTGCTACAGTGGCTTACAGGATCAGGTGATAGCACCTACCTTGTTAATAATTCCTCCGTTTTCAACAACCCCTTCAGCACCAACTATGACCAGGTCTGCTTTTTCCATGATATAGCTGAGGAAATGAACAGAAGCTATGTTGTTCAGGGCTGTAGTTGTCATATCCTCTAATGTTTGACCTGGTGGGGACAGGCTCCTCCCATGCCTCCTCCTTCAGAGGGGCTTTTAGCACCTGAGAACCAGCCCTGGCATTGTTACTAGCTCCCTTGTTAAGGAAATGAAAACTTTACTGTGTAGACCAGGCTGGCCTAGAACTCACTATGTAAACCAGGCTGGTCTTGAACAAAGGTCCATCTGCTCTGCCTCCTGAGTGCTAGGATTAAAGCCAGGCACTACCATGTCCAACTATTAAAAGAAATTATACTTATTTTGTGTATGATTGTGGCATGTACATCATGGCCTGTGTGTGGTCAGAGGATAACCTGTGAAAGCCAGTTGTCTCCTTCTACCATCCATGTGGATCCCAGGGATTGAACTCAGATTATCAGGCTTAGCAGCAAGCATCTCTACCTCCTAAGCCATCTCACCAGTCCATGAAAACTTTTTTTTTTTAAACAAAATTCTGTATGTAAGTGCATCACATGTATGCAAATGCCGGAGGAGGCCCGAAGGCATCAGATCCCCTGGAATTGGAGCTACAGGTGGTTGTGAATCACCAATGTGGTTGCTTGGAACTGAACCTGGGTCCTCTGCAAGAGTAGTAAGAGCTCTTAACCACTGAGCCACCTCTCCAGTCCCATGAAAACCTTTGCTCACGACCTCACAGCACGACAAACGTGCAACGTGTATAAGAACTGTTAGTGCAGATTCATCCTCACTGGTATAGAGTACTCTAGTTTCTGTCCTACTTCAATATATAGAAAATGAAAACATCAAACACCTGATGTGAAGGGGCAGAAGGGTTAAGAGCCAGAGGACCAGGACACCTGCTGCTAGATAGCGTCGTCTAGACATGGCAGGGAAGCTGCACCTATGCAATCTCAACATATGGCTGCCTCAACAAGACCTGTCTTGACAACATTAGCTGACACACCAATGTGGATGGGGAAATTTCACAAGGTCGCACCTCTAGATGAAGAGCTGCAGGGATCAATGGCTGCTGGGGGAGGGAGAGTCAGTTTTCTCCAGGGACAAGCTCCCTAAGCAGTTATCCAATCCCAAGTGCTCAGCCCTAAACTTGTGTACACACTAGCAACACTAAATGCATAAGTAGATTTTATGCATGTATATGTAACAATAATCAAAGAAGAGGTCATGAAATTGAGACTGTGTGGGGGAGGGGGGGCAGAGCAATGTAAATACAGTATGAAATTCTAAAAAAAGATTAAAACCAACACCTGATGTGATCCATGGTTGAACTGTGATTGGACGCAAGCATTCTATAATCCAAAAATGTATCTAGCAGGGCAAAGGCAGTTTACCTTTTAAAATGAGCAGTATCTGGGTTGGAGAAATGGCTCAGGGGGCTAGTTTTCTCTTGTGAAATACACTGATGCCCACAAGGTGGGACCTTAGTGTCATGGGTGGGACAAGGCTCTCAGCATGCCACTGAGGAGAGCCCACATCTCTGGACACAGTGAGCACTGATCACCTAACTCCCAACCCTAACCTGACCTTTGCATCTTACTGAGAACATACAAACAGCTGGACACCTGCAGTCTCAGCACTCCGGCTGAGGCAGAAGGACTGTCAGTTCCAGGTCAGTCTGAGTTCCACAGTAAGATTCTCAGAAACAAGTAAAAACTCAACAGCAAAAGTGCTTGAACACTGGGATCTATCATGCTGTGCACACAGCCCTCTTCCCCATATCACTATCTTCTGCACTCTTAAGACCTTGTGATGACCTTACTGCTTACTACCTAGCAAAAGTTAATTATTGAGATTTAGACTTTACTTTGAAAGCCCTACTTGAAGCAGCACTAGGAGTGAGCACCCTCCAATGGCCAAGGGAGATACACATGCACACTTACCCAACAGCAGCATCCAGCACCACAGTGACAGGGACGTTGAGGTGGCAGAGGGCTTTGGCCATTTTCTTACTGAAGATATTTTGAGAACATTAGATAAAGTCCAAGAAGGTTCCACTGTGATGCATGATGAGCTTGATTTAGACAGTGATGTCATGTGTTAGGCTCAAAATGCAGTAACAATAATGCATTAAGGGGTTGATCCTAACTGAATTAAGTAAATGATAATTTGGGTTTTTCAAACTATGGAGATGGGGATACAGCTCCAGAGTGCTTGACTAGCATGTGCAAACGTGGATTCAGTCTCCAGTACTACCACAAAAAAAAGGTGTATTTAAGGAGTCTGCCTTAAGACCATTTGCCGTTCTTATCTTCTGAAGATGGGGCTGTGAATCACTGATAAAAAACTCTGATAACAGCCAGGTGTGGTGGCATACGCCTGTAGTCCCAGCACTTGGGAGGCAGAGGCAGGCGGATCTCTGTGAGTTCAAGGCCAAGCTGGTCTACATAGTGAGTTCCAGGACAGCTGGGGCTACAGGGAGACCCTGCTTCAAAAAGACAAAAGAAGACAAAAAAACACAAACTCTGATAAAAGGTTTTCATCAGCACAGTCTCCTGCTTTTCTCTGATGGAACTACTTAAAGAAAATCCCTGAAAAAAAAAAAAAAAAAAAAAAGAAAAAGAAACCCCTAGAGCCTGTACTATACCCTCTGAAAACTCACAAGGAAGTTCCTCCCAGAGGCAATGCTGACTGGCCAGCCAGTTTGGTAAAATACTTGCCCTGATAAATCAGGCTGAGACTCGGTGATATACACACTAAACCGTTTCTTGGCTGCCACAGCTGCTTCCAGGACTCTCAAGACCACTCTGGAGTAGGCGTGAGTCAAAATTCTCTGTGGAACAAGATACCTTCGTTAAAGGGGCAAACTCCTAGGCAGTGATCGCCCACACTCCCACACTGTTATATAATGCATGTGCCTGGCACTTGGAACTCCTGTGTGCTATAAATCAACTGTAATCAGAAGGGAGACCACAAGAGTTCATTGAACTGCACACCCAACAAGAAGTTTGGTTTCTGCTGGAGGATGGTATGTGTTCCCCTGGTGGAATATCTCCATGAGGTGTTGCTCACAAGGTACAAAGCTGGTACAGTGAGCCCAGGAGGCTCATAGGCTGGTTTCCCTGCCTCTAAGATATCTTACATCCTTGGCCCTCAAGTACCAGGAAGGTCACACAATGCAGTGGCTATATGAGGCCAGTGGCAATGGAAAGGCTAAGGGGAAAGGAGCACTCAGTGCCTGCTATTGTCATGTGGTCCTGCTGTTGCAGATCTCGATTCTTCTAGAAAAAGTGAAAATCTAATAAAACTAAATGCAAGCAAGTTTTTCAAGACTGACAAGCACCATCTGGTGTAAACACAACTACCTGTAGTGCAGATGATGACTTGGACGCACTGACGCATGGCCTCCAATTTAGGAAGGGCACAGAGGATTACATTATGAAAGATGGTGGACTCAGCTCGCTAGTTGCTGGAAGGGTCCCACCTGACACTCCTTACAGATCCAGGTTCTCAGGACCCATCCTGGACCTTCAGAATCTGCATTTAACAAACCCCCAGGTGATTTGACTTAATGTTCAAGCATGAGCAGCTCTTCTTTGAACTCAGTGGAAGGCTGCTTGTATGCATGAAACCCAAAGGACAATGCACAGTAAGGCCTCAGGGAGAAAGCATAGCCAGAATCATCATAGCTTTGCCTCTACTTGGTGCACACCTATTTTTCATTGCCTTTTGCACATGCTCCCCCAAACTTAGGTCACTATTTAATAACATACTTCAAAGGAGGGAAGAGTAGTAAAGCTGAGGGTGAGATTTAAGAGCTACAATGCAAGTACATGCTTGTATGGTTCAGGGAGGCTTCAGTGGTATAAGGGCTGTGCTAGTGGAACAGACAACATGAATTATTACCTGATGGAGGGAACAAGCTAAAGACTGGCTTAACCTGTCATTCCTAACCTAACCAGGAACACATGGCAGCTTTAAAGAGAACATCTACATCCAATACTGACACTGGCTGTGAAGATGCTCAGTAGTGACTCTGAGAAGATCCGATCAGTGGAGACACATCCCACATTAATTCATTACAAATCCAATCATAAAAATACTTCCTTAGAAAAACAGCTTATTAAGGGGCTAGGGACGCAGGTCAGCGGTAGAGAATTTATAGTACATGTGTGAGGCCCAGCTCCGCAATAAAGAAAAAAAAGCTTATTAAATCAAGAATCATCAGTGCTGGCCCCACATGTTCCTCTGCCCATTCACAATGACTAGCCTCTATCACATCTGTATTTACAGAGCACCGTGTGTTATGCACACCATCTCATTTATTCCTCACAAAACCGCAAAAGGTAGGTGCTGCAGTTGCCCTTAATTAACAGAAGAGAAAACTGAAGAACATAGCAGTAACTTGTCCAAGGTCACCCAGCAAGTAGATGGCAGAGCCAGGATTTAACCCCATCAGTTTGACTTGAAAGCTCTTGCTCCTAGTTACCACATGAGAGGAATCTACTCACTGCTCCATCTTTGATGAAAGTATGGCACAGGTCAGCAATTTTATTTCTTGACAGGGATATTCTCCTAAGGAACAGTTCTCCCCTCTCAATCATGATCTTTTTACATTTGGAGTAATCCTAGGAAGAAAAGAGCAAAATGAAGGGAGAAAAATTCCAGTAATGCTTAGACTATCTGCAGGCAAATAGAGGGGCAGAAGGGAAGGAACTCCAAGGGAGGACAGGGCTTACAGAGTACTCCAAGGAGGTAAGGCTGATGAAGCGAAGGAAAAGCTCCCCGCCAGAGGATACTGCCACCGAGGAGTCCACGCCGCACAGGGTTTCTATGGCACTGGTGAGATTCGCTCTCAGGCCCTGGATTGTCTCCCCTGCAATGATGAAATGAGAAATGTGACGTTCATTAGACTATTGCTGGGTCTATAGTTAGTCACTCATTGACTACTGGATGCATCTATATACCATACACTGTTCCAAAGGCCAGGGGACACTGCACAAAAAATGGCTCTGTTCTCACGGAGCAATAAACAAGCACAGAAAGCAGCAGATGAGTTAGTTACTCACTGTAATGAGGACAGGAAAAGGCAGAATGATGAACAAGGTGGGAATTTTTTTTTTTTAAACAGGAGTGGCCTCTTGGATTAGAGTCATTTAAACACTTTCAGGCTGGAGAGATGGCTCAGTGGTTAAGAGCACTGGCTGCTCTTACAGAGGACCTGAGTTTGATTCCCACCACCCACACGGCAGCTAACCACCATCTGTGACACTGTTCCAGGGAATCTGACATCCTTTTCTGACTTCTGCAGGCATTGCATAACACAGGGGTACTTACATACACGCAGGCAATACACTCATACACATAAAATAAAAAATAATAATCAGGGGCTGGAGAGATGGCTCAGCGGTTAAGAGCACTGACTGCTCTTGCAGAGGATCTGAGTTCGATTCCCAGCACCCACATGGCAGCTGCGAACTGTCCTTTACTCCAGTTCCAGGGGAATCTGAAGCCCTCTTCTGACCTCCTCGGCATTGCACGACATGGTTGCACTCACATACATGCGGGCAATACGCTCACACACATAATATAGAAATAATAAATAAAACATTAAAAAAAAAAACTTAAAAAAAAATAAAATAAAAAATAAAACCAGACTTGAATAAGGATGGACCGACTTAGGAAGATCCAGAGAGGACAGCTCTGTGTGCAGACTGAAAAGATGCAAAGGTCCAAAATGGGATCAAGCTTGGAAACAAAAACAAAGAAATGGCCAACAGGATGGATAAATGGGTAAACATACTAGCCATGCAAGCCTAAGGACCTGAATGTGAGCCCCAAAACCCACAGTAGAAGGAGAGAACTGACACCTGAAAGTTGTCCTCCAAACTTCACATGCTTACTGTGGCACATGTACATACACACTCATACATACATTACTTTCTCTCTCTCTTACTATGGCACATGCATTCACACACTCATACGCACATTTCTCTCCCTCTCTCACACATATATTACTATCAGAATGTTCTTACTCTGGAACATTCTCTGTAGCATCTGCATAGAACAGCCAGGCCAGGCCAGGAGCTCAGTAGGCATCCACAAAGCTAAACTACTACTGCTGTCATTAAATCTTCCTAGCAAAGGCAGTATTTGTGATTCTTCATTTGGAGACTATTTCGTAGACAAATGGGAATCTTTTGGGAGATAACTTGAGGGATCTGTCCAGGTCAAAAGTGCTGACTTGAAAACAGCAGCTCAACTTGAGGCAAACTTGCATCTCTGACTGTCCATACTAACAGTCATGTGAAGATTTCCAAGGTCCAAACTGTTCAAGATTGACTACCTTTATCTCTCTTCAGGAACTCCAGCAAAGTCCGGATGGCAGCCACTGCTGAGGCCATGTCAGGATCTCCTTTCATTTGAGACTTAAAGTACTGAATTAACTCTAGGATGGGAGGAAAAATGAGTCACCACATGCACTTAGTGAGCTTGATAATTACTGCTGAACTTAGGAAGCAAAATCATTTAAAAAAATACTTTCTTCCCCAGAGTACTTCAATGGCATGACAAATGTTGAGGGGGATAGAGAAACCACCACATAACTGTTTTCAGGATTGCATCTCTTTCATTCCTTAAAAAAGCTACTGGATGGGGCTGGAGACATAACTCAGTGATTAAGAGCACTGGCTGCTATTGCAGAGTACCAGGTTCAATTCCCAGCACCCATATGGTGGATAACAACCATCCATAACTCCAGTTCCAAGGGATCTGACACCCTCTTCTGACCTCTGTGGGCACTGCAGGACACTGGTGCATTTACACACATGTAGGCAATACACTCGTACACACAAAACAAAATATTTTTAAAAAACTACTGGTGTGCAAAGCATAAAATTTAAGCTCTAAGAGTAAGGGCCATTCTATTCTAGTGCCTACTTTCTTTTTTAAAAAAATATTTTACAGCTGGGCATGGTGGTACACCCCTTTAACCCCAGCACTTGGGAGGCAGAGGCAGGTGGATCTTTGTGAGTTCGAGGCCAGCCTGGTCTACATAGTGAGTTCCAGGACAGCTGGGGCTTCAAGGAGACCCTGTCTCAAAAAGACAAAAAAAATTTTTTAAAAATTATTTTTGTGTATGCGTGTATTGCCTGCGTGTAGGTAAGTCCACTTGGGTCGTGCGATGCCCACGGAGGTCAGAGGAGGCTGTCGGATCCCCTGGAACTTGAGTTACAGACAGTTGTTGGCTGCCGTGTGGGTGCTGGGATTCGAACCTGGGTCTTCTGCAAGAACAACCAGTGTTCTTAATCGCTGAGCCATCTCTCCAGCCCTTCTAGTGCCTACTTTCTAAGGGAACCCAACTCATCCACTTTATCAATTTCACCTGCACCCCTCCAGTCTCTGCCCATTCAAGTCTATTATGGATACAAATGCACCTACAGTTTCACCCACTTCATTTTTATTCATTAACGAGAGCTTATTAGTTTGCCATTGTTTTTCACTTAATAAAAGACTCTGATAAGCACAGTGGAGGAGCAAACCAAAGGTGCCTTATTCAGCAGGGCAGGGCGCGCTCCCGAGAATTTCGCGGCTGAGGAGGCCTGCGCAGGTTTCCCGATGCCTGTCCGACCAGCTCGTGTGGAGGCGTGTTCTGCCGGCGTCCTCCAGCCCGGGCCGGGGACACAGCGATGGCCGCAGGAAGCAGCCGGAGCCTGGACAGCTACGCCCAGGAGCCCAGGCTGGGCTGGCGAGGCCTGGGACCCGCGCGACATCGCCTCCCTGGCAGCCCGACTCACCCTGTTCGTCCATGGTCCTCTCAACGCGCCCCACAACCACAACGGCAGTGAGCCAGGGGCTGACAGCACGCCTCGGCACTCACTTCCGGCGCCTCGGGGAGGGACTTGCGTCTCTTGTCCGCGCCGGAACTGGCCTGTTAGACTCCGGGCTGATCCTCAGCATGAGGCCACTGTGCGTGGAGGCGTCGGGGAATCATGGCTTCCGATGGTGAGGGTTGGCGGCGGACCGCAGCTCCGGTGGGCGCGATCCATTTGGTCTATAGAGGAGCAGCCAGTGCATTCGTTCAGCATTTTTTTTTTTTTTTTGGTCTTTTTGAGACGGGTCTCCCTTTAGTCCCAGCTGCTCTGGAACTCATTATGTAGATCAAGTTGGCTTCGAATCACAGAGATTGGCCTGCCTCTGCCTCTCGAGTGCTGGGACTAAAGGCGTGCGCCACCACGCCGGACTTTCATTCAGCAATTTTTAAAAAAGAGCTCAATGTAGCCCAGGCAGTCTTCTAACTCGCTATGTAGTAGTGGATGGCCTTGAACTCCTGATCCTTCTGCCTCAGCTTCTAGAGTACTGGGATTACAGGCGGGTCCCGTCACGCCGTTTTTTATGCGGTACTGTGGGTCGAACTCAGGGCCTTCCGCATAGGAAGTAGTCAGTCTACCAAATAAGCTACATCCCCAGCCCTAATTTTCTTTTAGGTAGGGTCTCTCCTGCCTCAGCCTCCCGAATGCTGAGATTATAGACCTGCTCCACATGTTCTGTGTATTCAGTAAATATTTTTGTACTGCCCTCAATGTGTCAGACATTATTTTCTGAACTGGGCAACACAGCACAGAACTTGACAGACAGGGAAGCTTGTAGTGGTTAATGTCTTGTGGGCTGGAGAGGCAATGAAGTTAATTCCAAAGGGTGATAAGGGCTATGAAGGTAATGAGAATGTGTGGCAACAAGTTCAAAAGGAGTTCCTTTAGCTAGGAGTCCAGGAAGGAGTGAGATATGAGAGTGAAGATGGTAGGGCGTTAATGACATTAGGAAGTTTTGCATGAAGTGCACCAAGTACAAAGGTCCTGTAAGGTTAATTAGAAGAGCAGAATGTAATCCCAGCACTTGGGAGGCAGAGGCAGGTAAATCTCTGTGAGTTGAAGGCCAGCCTGGTCTACATAGTGAGTTCCAGGCCGGCTGGGGCTACAGGGAGACCCTATCTCAAAAAGACCAAAAAAAGAAAAAGAAAGCAGAATGGGACTGGAAGGATAGATGTGGGTGGGAGACTTTGATTCATATGTTAAACTACTAGTTATAAATTTAAAAAAATACATTTTTCCCCAAAGATTTTTGTATTTATTTTTTTATCTTGTGTGCGTGTGTGTCTGTATGTGTATGGGCCATCATGTGTGGAGGTCAAAAGGCAGCTTTTAGGAGTAAAAATCTCTCCTGTGTCGTTCTCTCATGCTATGTCAGTACCAGGAATGGAACTCAAGTCATCAGGCAAGTGCCTAATAGACTGAACCATCTCACTGGCCTAGACTTACTATTATTTGATTGACAGTTTTAGATGATCACTTTGGCTACTGGGTGGAAAACAGATTGTGGGGAGCAGGAACAGTTAAGAAGATCCATTCAGCAGCCATACCAGTTACTCATACTTTCTGTCAGTATTGATCTGTGTCACAATCCTCTGAGAAAGGCAGACCTGACACTGCTAGTCTACACATGAGGCAGAGGTCCCAAAAAATTGACAGGGAAATTTCTTGTGTAGACTTCTAGGCAGTGCTTTTTTTTCCTTTCTCAAGTGTCTTGGTACTAGTGGGGAAAGAAGAGTTACTAGGATTTGTGTCTGCAGAAGCCAGAGATGGGGTGCTGTCTTATGAAGGAAATGGGGCTGCATGAAAGAGGGAAGATAGGAGGCAGAAAAGGTGACTCGTCTCTTTGCTTTCCCATTGAGTATCTTCATGGCTTCTAGCATGGGGAAACCCTGTATCAGGTTTTTAAAAAGACAAGCTTAGCAGGCCTTAGTAAGACTCATCTGCTCCCCCCAACACTGCAGCCCTGGGATATGAATTCCACAAGGGCAAGACTTCTGTCCAGTTAAAGTATAGGTGCTTGCTGAGCATGGTCCCAAACATAATCTCAGCTCCTCATAAAGTAGGAGGGTAACAAGTTCAAGGACAGACTAAGCAGTTAATATTAACACCAGGCTCAAAATAAGACAGGGCTGGGGATGTAGTTCAGTGGCAGAACTCTTGCTTAGCATGCACAAGGCCCTGTGTTCAATTCCCAGCACCATAATAAATAAAGTGTAAGTCCTTTGACTTGTACCCCAGTTTCCAACAGCTAATACTGGATCGTAGTGTGAATGTTGAGTGGTTGTGTTAAGATGGCCTTTTTAGTAGTGCTTGTCATTTTGGAGAGTGGCCTAATTCCTTTCCACAAATCTTTCCATAATAAGAATTATTTACCCCTTTTGGCTTTTACTTTTAAAAAGTGGTTCCTGGGCTGGGAATGTAGTTTATTTAGTAGAGTGCTTGCCCAACATGCACAAAGCCCTGGGTTCAATCCCTAGCACCCCTTAAAATCAGGCTTGATGCTGCAAACCCATAATCCTAGCACTAGGGAGGTGGAGCCAGACAGATCTGAAGTTCAAGGTCATCCTCCATGTTTACAAGGAGTTTGAGGCCAGTTTTGGCTACATTAGAAAATAAATAAAAGATTCCTAATTTACCTGGCCTTGCTGTTCTGTGATGGGTTGAACTGGCTGCTCATGTGACCTTTAATTCTGCTTGAGATTCTACCACTGGAAATCATCGAGTCTCATTCAGTGACTGTCCAGGACCAGGCATTTATAATGCAGAATCCTTTGGGTTCACTCAGTGAGTATTTGATGAGTATTCAACGTGTGCCAGGAGCAGAGGGTTAGTAGTAAAGTAGAGAAGCCTCACCCTTGTGGAATTCATATCCCAGGGCCTGTAGTGTTGTGGGGGAGCAGGTAAGGTTTACCAAGGCCTGCTGAGCTTAAGTCTTCTTAAAAACCTGATACAGGGTTTCCCCATGCTAGGCAGGTGCTCTACCCTTGAGCTGTATTCCCAAACTTAATGGGACTTGTAGAATGAAAGGCATTTGAAGGCATGACCTAGACTTAATTGACACATCAGGAATGTTATCTTTTTTTTTTTTTTTTTTTTTTTTTTTTTTTGAGGGGCATCCAATTTGTTATATAGCAGAGTACCTTGAACTCCTGCTCCTCCTGCCTTCGCCTGCTGAGTGCACCACCACACCTGGCTGTAGTGCTGGGGGTGAAACCTGGAGCCTTGTGCATGCTACCAGGGCACTCAGCCAAGGGCGCTACATCGCTAGTGGACAGACAAATCTTTAAGGTGCAAAATTGGTAAGTGCCCTAGACTGGATACATCCTGTTTTTACATTCTAGCTAATTGACTGAACCTTTGGTTCACAGTCCTTTTTTTCTCTGAAAACATGAGGTGAGGGCCGGGCTTGGTGGTGCACACCTTTAATCCCAGCACTTGGGAGGCAGAGGCAGGCAGATCTCTGAGTTCAAGGCCAGCCTGGTCTACATAGCGAGTTCCAGGTCAGCTGGGGCTACAGGGAGACCCTGTCTCAAAAAAGACCAAA